AAAAAACTGTCTGAAAAAAGCTGTTGCTATTCAAAAACACTAATTGTATCTAAATATTCAGTGGTCTTAAAGCTACAGTCTGGCGTTTTTTTCTCTTTGTCACCATCTCTGTTCGAAATCTCTTTTTTTCTGCAAGTTAGTCACTCCGAAGTCCAAACTAAGTCTTTTGCATTTTACAGCAGGTGAATCTCTAGTTGTCACGACTCACTAGTGATTATTGTTTGAACCTTTCTGCATCCTTCTGGAAGTCCTGAGAAAAGGTTATAAATCTCCACCTCCAACATCCTCACTCGCAATATAGCTTTTACTAGCTTTAACTGTGACGTAATGACACAAAGACACGATTCGAATCATATCACGATACTGAACTCACAATACGATATTATTGCGATACTCCAAGACATATGGTAAAAGGTTGTTGATTAAAATGCTAAATTTGATATTACATTGAAGGCTAAATGAATAGACTTGGCCTTAACCAAAGGACAATGGTGACACCCGAATAACAATATTCATGATTCTGAAGCTGAAATTACGGAGTTATTGTAAATGAATATGCTTGCACGCTTTCACCGACTAGATATATTTAAAATAATGTCAGACACTTTTGACTGGTAACATCAGACATTTGGCATTTTCAGGACCCAAAGATATACCCCCCATTGCATTATTATACATTATAATAAACATTATATAGTAGTTCAATGTAGTAAAGACACTAAAACTTGAATTTTTTCCTCACACAGTAATTTTTATTTTGGGGGGGACTATCCACGATACATATTGTCCCTATCCACAATACGTATTGTTGCATTTTTTATTGTGATATATTGTGGAACGATATATTGTTACACCCCTATTATTTTGGATATTTTTTTCCAAAAAAAAAAAAGCTATGGACTGCAGCTTTAAATATGACTCTCCCTACAATGGTGCTTGCTTGGTACTACCGCTGGGAGGAGAAGCAAATGGTTTTAATTACTTTACCCCTGTTATAAGTAAACAAAAAATGTCCTGAAGCCTGCTGAGATACTGTCCTGCCCTTTAATGTGTCCAAAATAAATAAATACTTTGACTTTTCATTTAGACTTTTCCCATTTATCCACTAGGTATTGATTTGATCATGAAAATGGTTTCGGAGGTGATTAGATTAGAGCTGGTTTGAAAAATACGTCAAAAAGGAAATTTGTTTCAGAGGTGGAGCAAGTCATCACATTCTAATGAAAGATAAAACTTTTTTTTTTCTTTTAAATAATGCACTCTGATGAATCATTTACAGTTTCCTTACACAAAACCAGGAACTGTATAAAGGAAATGGGGTCAATTATGATTTCATGTTGACTTCAACTGGGTGCTCATTTTGAAAATATATTAAAAATGGTAATTACAAAGTGTACAATGCTTTCCTTAGTCAGTGGGAAGACCATTAAAACACTCAGGCAGAACCATCATATCTTCACAGCAAGCTTGTTAGTCTTGATACTTACTGAACCACTTACATTTTATCCACATGCTACACATCTAAAGCACTTCAAATAAAAAAATCTGTAAAAATGTGTGTGTGTGTGCACATATATATATATATATATATATATATATACACATATAAACTCCCCTTCCCACGCCACAGACTATATTCTGGATTTCAAAGAAACTTAACTACCAAACCCAGATTGCCAACTTCCTGTTTAACTCCAATCTTCAGCACACCTGTCCCACACTGGACTCAACTTGTCAGCATTAAGGTAAGAGCAAGCACTATGCGAACTTACCGGCCGTGTGCAAATGCCCCAACCAGCAGCCTAGGGCGACAAGAACGTGGACAATAATGGGGGAAGGAAGGAGGGAGGGAGTGAAAAACAAAGTTGATTTTAGTCAAATGTGACTAAATGATTCCATTAAATGACAGAGTAAAATCAGAGAAGAATTTAATCACAACTGCAGACTAAGGTGGCAGCCATTTTGTTTGGTAATCAAAAAAACTGATGCCAAATGTGATTCTTTGATATGCAAGGCATTTTTGAAGCACTAAAACTGACTGTATCATAAGAAAAAGGATAAGAAATACTGAATATTCATTCAGGGTACACTTAAATCTCCCTCTATAACCCCTACATGACTTTAGATGAGATTATAAAATGATGCTCTAACCACATTCAGCAAATTTGATAGGGATATAACACATTTTAACGTAATAAACTAAGCTTGTTTCATGCATTACTAGCATAATTGTGCCTCTCCTAATAACTCAATTGAAAAAGGTACAAATTATGTTCACTAATTAGGATAGGCATTGTACAAACATCACACAGATTAAGTATGCTGCTTTTCAACACGAGGATAATTGTTTTTTGTGTGTGTTGTTTAACGTTACATTTAAGTGTGCGTCATTAATATAAATAGAGTAACATCCATATCATCAATACAATAATACACACACAAACGAAAATAACGTCCAAGAGATCGTGACGCGTAAAACGGTGTCTAGGTCGTCAATTCGCGAGGTTTGTAAAGATAGCTGTTATAACATTAAAATATGGTGACAGAAGATATTATGATTTTTTTTGTTCAAACGAGCCTAAAGGCCTTCCTTCTCACAACGACACCACCATTAAAGCTAACGTTACTTCGGCAAGCAAAGCAACGTCCACGACATTAAAACTACTAAACGTCAAATATACAACCCAAAACACAAACATTTACAGAACCGAACATGAAAAGCGATAATTTCGACCATAACGCCAAACATTTAACAGACAGCTCAAAACATGTCAAACATACCCTTTGCAGTGAGCACACTACTGAGACTTCTAACGTTACTTCCCTAAAGAGAGGGTGAACTGATGTCGACGATTAGGAGTTGAATTCCTTCATATGACCATAAAAACAAAACAAGCCCATCGTTAGATTCAATCAAGCGCAGTTTGCTGACTGGGGATTGTGCTGCTGTGTGTATTTGGACTGTTGACATGAAAATACGACATGATTATGAAGGCCGTTTTCAGCACAGGCCTGAGTCGATCCTTTTGTTTATTTTGCCCAGTCCATGAAACAAACTCCAATCAGCCTTGACACAGCTTACTGTCCTTACACAACCAAACCACACACAATTTCACCACACAAAACATACACGAGTTTAGTTATTTATAAATAAACAAAATACAGCATGATAAGTTGATTTTCGCACTCCAAGGCCTTACACATCGGTCTCGCGTTTTGTGGCCCTGCATGCGCTTTTGCCAATTCAAAACATCTGCGGTGGTTCTGGGAAAATGCTTGGACATTTAAAACTAGGTTGCTACGGTTGTTCTAAGGCACCACAGTGAACAATACACGATGGGTAGAGAATTGTGAAGTGAAGTTAACGAAGTCCAGGTGATTATCACGATCAGCTAACGCTAGCCCTCACGCTAGCCAAGTTAAATAAAACACTCAAAACCATCAGAGTATCTAGCCACTCACAAATGAACAATATTTTAAAGACTGACAAACACCTTGAAATAGTTTTAAGGTTTGAATAAGAAAAAGGGGAACGGTTTTGTGTTCGGCTGTCTTTGGTGCTAACTGTTAGCACGGCTAACTGATGCTAATCTGCTGAAGGGACGAAGCGTGACAAGCGATTATCAACAAATAACATGTATCAATTACAACAGCACAAAAAACATAGTATAATGTGAACATTCAACACAATAACAATAAAAAGAGGAAGACTGTACCGTCGCTGTCAGTATTTGGCCTACATATGGCAAAGCTAAACAGCAAAGCCGGTCTCCTGTCGACGTGTATGCGGGCAAGATCAGGTCAAAGTGACTAAAGACGTAAACAAACTACCAGCACCAGCAAACTACACTAATCAACATTCACATGAACACGGCTGGATACAACAGACAAATCAACTTTTGTGATGTATTGAAACTTCCTCACATAAATTAGACTTTTTGTGACATTACTAACAAATAAAGGAGAAATAGAGAGAAACTTGAATTCATTTCTCGTTACCGTCTTGTTCGTGGGTCAGAGTATTATATATTTTAATAGCTCTCTATACTGTCCCATGCCTTAATAAACGAACAAAATCACCAGAAAATGAGTCGTCATATACATTGTGCTACTCAGATGCAGGTCTCATCTTTATGGTTATAATGTACTGAATATTTATTTCAAAGGGTATGTAACATGTCTCAATTCGCTCACGATATCTCTCCCAAGTTATTAAAAAAGATTCGAGTGGCTTATTGTCTGTACTATTATAACAACGCCAACCAGTGAATATATAACTCGAATACAGAAACAAACAAGGGAAACATGAAAAGGACTCGAGGGATGACAACTGGAAACCATTTTTTTTCTTTCGTCTGGCTTTTCTCACTCATATTACACGGCTGCTGATTCACACGAAGGGCTCCAATGCGCATAGGACGTAAGACGATGCCCGGACATTGAAGTTAAATATATATATGTGTGTGTGTGTGTATATTTTAGGTGTTATTGTAATTACCTATTTGTTCCAGTGTTGTAGTAGCTGTTAGACACAGTGCAGCAGCAGCAGCTTTACCTTCATCAGCTGAGCGACCTGCGAACTGCCGCATCACATCCGCTCTCACAGCGCTCTGTGCTTCCGCAAAGCACTACTTCCAACACTAAAGAACAGCGATTATGATAGCAACCGGCGAGCCGAAGCCTTATCAACCACCACGACTAAGATAATAACGTTAATTGGAGCTATTACGAACGGGTTGTGTCACCATTAACCCCGCGCTTTATGAGTGTCACTAGTGCATCAGTAATGTACGTCAAGATTTCATAATATCAATCCGCCGGGTCGTGACCCCCCCAACACCACCATCTTAAAAAACGTTCACCCTTACATCATTTTGTGTTAACTATTTTTAAATGATTTTAAACGTATGTTTTTCTGTTGAGCCAGATGTAAATATGTAAAAATAAATAAATAAAAAAATGTAAAAATTATTGGCAACAATTAAGCGTCCACTCCAAATATGGCATCTCTGCTGGATGAAATTCTCTTTGAAACACCTCCCTCTAAAGACTTTTACCAATTGTGTATCACACAAAAAGAGGTATTTAACAGTAGTCTACAAAAAATGATAATTCAACTGAGATTGCGAAGGGACAAATATTTAATGGTAAATTTTTGCTTCACGTTACCTGAATTGCAAAAACAGCATGTCATGTCTGACAAGCAATTGATTATCCTGTTAAAGTCAACATGAAACCGAAGTTGTAATTGTATTTTCTTCCCTATTGTGTTATGTATATTGGAGCAAAACAGCTTCTCGAAAAAGAAAAATGTAAGGCGGGACTTAATTTTGTCCATCAGGAATTGATTGTAGTTTGATATTATTGGTCAATCTTATATGAGTGACAGGTTGACCCACCCTCGTGCCTTTGGTGACGTCATCAGAGAAGAAATGTCTCTACGCAACCCGATCACACTAAATGCGTCTTTATAGCACGCTTGTGTATTGTTGTGTAATTTATACGCTAAAGTGAGTTTTCATGTGCATATGATATGCATTGATTGGTTAGGGTAGGTTTAGGTGTGGGGTGGGGTGCGTGTGTATTATACGTTTGGGTAGAACTAGTGGTGTGGGGTACGTGTGTATCACACGCAAATGAACTGCGTATCAAATGCACGTGAAAAACTGCGTCTCATATGCACGTAAAAACTCATTTTCGCTTATAAATCACACGACAATACACAATGGTTGTTATAAAGATGCATTTGCTCTGCAAGAGAGAGGGGACATTATTGTGATTAAAGATTACGAGGGCACATCCATTTTAAAAATTAAAAATGTGCACGGTAAATAATTTATAATCATTATGTCAATATTCCATAAAAAATATTTTAACTTTAACATAGCATCAGTCATACTAAGATAACAAAACAAAAAAAACATGAATGTTTCATGTTTATATAGTCATATTAAGCGTTTCATAACTCTTTATTACCAACAGCTTATGGAGATGGTGGAAGATTTCAGTCCGAACTGAATTCAGAGGGACAGCACCTGAAGAGTTCAAAATGTTCTACCATGACTTTTTGAATGATTCAAAGTTGCAGGGTAACAATCCAGTCTGAGTTATTCTCCAGCTTTACATTTAAATATGTAATCCGACATAATCATGTTAAGTAATCATGTTTTGTGAATGCTATTCCTGATTTAGAGCAGTTAGCTGGATTCTGGAGTACACTTTGGCTTTGTGTCAAAGGCATTTTGACTACCTCGAGCCAGTCCGGGCTCCTCGACCGCAACAGGCAGACGCCTCCGGTTCCTCCATCAGCCTCAGCTGCTCTTCACTATACTGCGACTTGTGAAGATAGCCACGAACATCAGATTCGATCAGCAGAATTTCAAAATCCTCTTCTTCCATTTCATGTTTAGTTTCTTCCATCATTATCGTACTTCCTATCTCCACAGCGCTTGTTAGCTAAGCTTCCAAACTAATGTTTGTAATCTTTACACATTTTAATGAAATATGACTTCCTGCTTATTATGACGCAAAATGACGATTTTTACGTTATAATAAGCAGGAAGTAAAACACTTAAATCCTTATTTCTCCCATCTCGGGGGAAAATAAAGGAATGAACCATGACCATTCAAAAATATGACTGGGTTTCTGATCCACCTCTCAAATTTAATAAAAAATATTTTAATTTGTGTTCCGAAGATGAACGAAGGTCTTACGGCCGGGGTTGGCACAGCATGAGGGTGAGTAATTATTGACTTAAAGGGTTAGTTTACCCAAAAATTCTGTCAGTATTTACTCACCCTCATGTTGTTCAACCCCGTAAGACCTTCGTTCATCTTCTGAACACAAATTAAGATATTTTTGATGAAATCTGAGAGCTGGATCACTCCTGCATAGTCCATAGGCTTCTTGAGGGATTGAAACTTTCCAGCCTAGAAAAGTTATTAATGACATTGTTAAAATAGTCCAAGTGACTAGAGTGGCTCAATCTTAACTTTATCAAGCGACGAGAATACTTTTTGTGCGCAAAAACAAACATAAATAACGACTTTATTTCAACAATTCACTTCCTTCTCTATGGGCCTGTAGTCAGTTAACGTAGTGTTAACGATAGCATAGAGCTACTTCACACGTAGGCTCACTATTGGCCGACACTGGTCATGTGTGTGATGCGTGTGACGTACAATAACAGAAGCTTACGCTATTAAACTAGTAACCTGGCTAGAGGCAGAGAGAGAAGTAAATGAATAGTTGAATAAAGTCGTTATTTTTGTTGTTTACTGCGCACAAAATGTATTCTCGTCGCTTGATAAAGTTAAGATTGAGCCACTGTAGTCACTTGGACTATTTTAACGATGTCTTTAACTTTTTGAGGCCGGCAAGTTTCAATTTCTTAAAAAGCCTATGGACTAGTATGCAGGAGTGATCCAGCTCTCAGATTTCATCAAAATAATCTTAATTTAAAACTTTTTAATTTAAAAGGTTGTCTTATATTATATTATATTATATTAGTATATTATATTATATTATTATATTATCATATTTTGTACAGGATTGACAATGGCAATTGTTACATAGGAGGAAGGATGGAAATAAAAATCTACAAAAACAATATGGGCAGTATGGTGGTAGTGGGGAGTGATGGTAATGACAATGGTAATAAATAATAAATGGTTACTTTGTGTACACACGCATACACATACCCACGCTCATACACGCTCACTTACACACTTAGATCAAACACTTAAATCACTCTTGCCACTGCTGGAATTATGGATTTACAAGATTGCTCACTACTGCACTATGTTGGTTTGTTTGTATGTATGTCTGACTGTTAAATAAAAATAAATAAATAAATAAATAAAAAAATATCTTAATTTGTGTTCCAAAGATAAACAAAGGTCTTACGGGGTTGGAAGGTGAGTAAATACTGACAGAATTTTCCATTTTTGGGTGAACTAACCTTTAATTTTCATTTTTGGGGGAACTATCCCTTTAAAATCCTGTCCAACATGTCCATTCAGGACATTGGCTGTCTCAGCCAAACCTCAAACAGGTTTAAGAAGGTTAGAACAATACTCTGTTCCTTTCTCTGTTTTTTTTCTTCTTTTCTTTAAGCTAAGTTAAGGTTTCATGTCTATCAATTAATATTTTACATGGTAAAAATGTACGGATTTATCTATATTTTGAATCTGTCTTATTATTACTGATCATTGCTAAAGAAAACATCACTATTACTATTCCTCATAACCCCTAACACTAAGTACCCTATTAAAGGGATAGTTAGATAATTCTGTCATTAATTACTCCCTCATGTCATTCCAAACCCGTAAGTCTTTCTTTTATCTATAGTATAGAAATGAAGATCTTTCTGATGAAATCTGAGAGCTTTCTGTCCCTCCATTGACACCTACGTAACTGACATTTTGACACTTCAAAAAGATCATAAAGAGATCGTAAAACTAATCCATATGAATTGAGCGTTTTAGTCCAATTTTTCTGAAGAAACTCAATTGCTTCACATGATGAACAGATTTAATTTAGACTTTTATTTACATAATTATTGATCAGTAAACGTAAACAGAAGCTCAACTGAACCTGCTTGATATTCAAGAACAAACCTTGTTGGTTCTTGTAGAAGCTCAAACGTGCTGCGTAACACACAAGAATTAATCTCATTCTTCCTTGCAGAAGCTCAAACATGCTACGTAACACACAAGAATGAATCTTATTGGCTCTTGAGGAAGCTCAAATATGCAGGAAATTAATCTTATTGGTTCTTGCAGAAGCTCAAACATAAATCATAACACGAGAATTAATCTCATTGGTTCTTGAGGAAGCTCAAATATCCTGCGTAACAAGGGAATTAATCTCATTGGTTTTTGCAGAAGCTCAAGCATGAATCGTAACACGAGAATGAATCTCATTAGTTTCTTCACAAAGTTTAAATGTGCTGAGTATCATGAGATTGAATATCATTGGTTCTTGTGGAAGCTCAAACATGCTGTGTAACAAGAGAACGAACCTCATTGGTTCATACAAAAAGCTCAAACTGTTAGGAAACGACTGGAAGCAAACTGCAGAAATAAAGTCTTTAATGACAAAACTCAGAGGCACTGGTCAGACACAAATAACACAGAGACAACAGCACAGGGTGAGTGATGCAGGGACCTCTATAGGCAACCTGATGGTGGTGATGGTCAGTGGTGATACCAGATGGACTGGATGTCCAGGAAATGTTGAGAGTGCAAAAGCAGTGCAGACACAGTGAACAAATCCAGACGGCGAAGAAACACAACGAAGACCACGACACGGAACAGGAACCAACATATGAACATACCAAAATGATCTGACAACAAAAGATCAGTCACAGAGAATATTTAGCCGGGATTAAGTGATATCAGTGATAATCAGAGGCCGCGCCCAGAGAGACACACACGCTAATCAAATGCACACACATAATCACAAGATATGAAATAGGCAGAGAATTCAAAAACCATGACACAAACGTGCTGCATAAATGTTGGCTCTCTCAGTTTGACCATTGCTCTGGGGATGAAAACTAGAAGATAGACTGACAGTTGCCCCAAGTAATCTACAAAATTCTTGCCCAAATTTGCCCTGTTGGAAACCACGTCTGTAGGGAGGCCATGTAAGCAAAACATGGTCAACAACAGACACCGCTGTTTCCTTGGCATAGGGTCATTTAGGCAAGGGGATTAAATGGGCCGCCTTCGAGAACCGGTCCACTAAGGTTAAAACGACCGTCATACGCTGAGAGGGTGGGAAGGCGTTGATAAAACCTAGTGCAATGTGGGACCAGGGTCTCGAAGGGACTGACAGCGGTTGTAACCCATCTGGGGGTCGTTTGGAAGTCTTACCAGTGGCACAAAACGAGCAAATCAAAACAAAACTGTGGATGTCACAAGCCATTAATGGCCACCAAAATCGATACTTGACTAAAAAACTGGTACGATTAACAGCTGGATGACAAGCTACGTTGGAACAATGCCCCCACTGAATAAAGTCAGACCGTAACTCCTTTGGCACAAATATTCGGTTCGGTGGACCCCCAGGCGGAGGCATTACCGCTTTTAAGGTCGTCTTGACCTTCGATTCGACCTCCCATGTGAGTATGGAGACAATTAGGTTATCTGGTAAAATGCACTCGGGAGTAGATGGGCATTTGGAACGATCAAAAATGCGCGATAAAGAATCTGGGTTTGATGTTTTTAGAACCCGGGTGGTACGAAAGAGAAAAATCAATATGTCATCCAGCTAAACATGAATGAACTGATCAACCATATCTTGCAGCACGTCGTTGACGAGTGCCTGGAAGACTGCTGGGGAGTTGGACTGGCTGAAAGGCATGACCAAGAATTCAAAGTGCCCCCTGGGGGTGTAAAAAGCAGTCTTCCTTCCTGATGCAAACCGAATGATAAGCATCACGTAAGTCCAACTTAGTGAAGACTGATGCTCCCTGCAACCTCTCAAAAGCTGAAGACATCAGCGGCAAAGGATAACTATTCTTTAGAGTGATGTTGTTGAACTCTCGGTAGTCAATACAAGGTCTCAGGGACCCATCCTTCTTACCCACAAAGAAGAACCCCACCCCCGCTGGTGAAGAAGAAGGTTGGATGAACCTTAATGCTAGAGAATCATAAATGTATTTCTCCATGTCCTACCCCTCTGGGACAGAGAGTGAGTATAACTTGCCCTTAGGTCGAGACTTACCTGGCACTAAGTCTATGGCACAGTCGTATAGGGACGGTGTGGAGGGAGAGAAGCAGCACGGACTTACTGGACACTTTCTTCAGTCCCTGGTACTCAACAGGAATGTTAGATAAATCCCCTGCCTCCTCCTAAAACACAGAAACAGGTACAGACGGATAAGCAGAGACAAGACAAGAGTCATAACACAGAGTGCTCCACGCTGAAATGGAGTGTTGGCGCCAATCCACCCAGGAGTAATGTTCAGTAAACCAGGGGTGGTCGAGGACTATGGGTGCTAAAGATGAGTCCATGAGGAGAAATGGCATGTCTTCAGTATGATTGCCAGAGGTGATAAGTGTGATGCGTTCTGTGGTGTATGAAATACCAGGAAGTTCTTGTCAATTAAGAGCATATCTTGCGGGTGAGTGAATGAACCTGGATGCCAAGTCTCTAAACAAGCTTACTGTCAATGAAGTTCCCCTTTGCTCCAGTAAAACTTAACAGGTGTGAGTGCCAGTTGCCCATCTAAGTCTTACCGGGAGGAGCATGGCTGATGGTGATGAGGTCTTCTCGGCGGAGATCCCACCTGATAGTAGCTACAGATGTCAGGCTTGGCCTTTTACCAGGCAGGTGTTACTGAAATAAACACAGGACAGACAGAGTCTTTGGGATCTCCGCCTCTCCTTCTCCTCCCGGGAAAGCCGAACCCTACCCACCTGCATGGGCTTGAGATGTTTGGTTTGGCTGATGTTTATCTCTTGTGAATCCATCCGGGCAATACTGCGTTTGTGGATCCTGCTGCTGCTTCCATATCTGGTCAGAACGTTATGTTAGGAAATGACTGGAAGCAAACTGCAGAAATAAAGTCTTTATTGACAAAACTCAGAGGCACTGGTCAGACACAAATAACACAGAGACAACAGCACAGGGTGAGTGATGCAGGGACCTCTATCAACCTGATGGTGGTGATGGTCAGTGGTGATAATCCAGTCAGGGAAATGTAAAGAGTGCAACGGCAGTGCAGACACGGTGAACAAATCCAGACCACGGAGACCACGAAGAAGACCTCAATGAAGACCACGACACGGAACAGGAACCAACACAGGAACATACCAAAAGGATCTGACAACAAGACATATCAGTCATAGAGAATATAGCCGGGATGAAGTGATATCAGCTGGAGTGATAATCGGAGACCGCACTCACAGACACACACGCTAATCACACGCACACACATAATCACAAGACATGAAGAAGGCAGAGAATTCAAAAACCATGACACAAATGTGCTGCGTAACACGAGAACAAACCTTATTGGTTCTTGCGAAAGCTCAGACATGCTACGTAACTGGAGAATGAATTTCATTGGTTCTTGCAGAAGCTCAAAATGCATAACATGAGAATGAATCTCTTTGGTCCTTGCAGAAGCTCAAACATGCTGTGTAACACAAGAATAAACCTCATTGGTTCTTGCAGAAGCTCAAAAGTGCATAAGAATGAATCTCATTAGTTCTTGCGAAGCTGAAACGTGCTGCGTAACACCAGAATGAATCTCATCGGTTCTTGCGGAAGTTCAAACATGCTGCATAACATGAGAAGGAATCTCTTTGGTCCTTGCAGAAGCACAAACGTGCTGTGTAACATGAGAATGAACCTAATTGGTTCTTGAGGAAGCTCAGACATGCTGCTTAACATAAGAATTGGTTCTTGAGGAAGCTCAAATGTGCTGCGTAACATGAGAATGAACATAATTGGTTCTTGAGGAAGCTCAAACGTGCGTAAGACGAGAATGAACATAATTGTTTTTTTACAGAAGCTTAAACATGCTTGCATAACATGAGAATAAATCTTATTGGTTTTTGAGGAAGCTTAAACGTGTTGTGTAACACGAGAATGAACCTCAATTGTTCTTGCAGAAGCTTAAACGTGTTGTGGTTGTGTCATGAGAATGAACCTCATTGGTTCTTGCAGAAGCCGCTGCGTAACATGATAATGAATCTCATTGGTTCTCGGACATCAAGCGAAAAAGGCCTAAATTCAAACTATTCATCATATAAAGATATTTTCTCTTTATAGAATTTGGATTAAAACGGTCAATTTATATGGATTATATACAATCTCTTTATGAACTTTTTGAAGCGTCAGAGTATCAGTTGCGACTTTACGGTGAGTAATAAATAACAAAATATTGTGGGTGAACTAACCCTTTAAACTTTGTGCTACAGAAATGATATGTGTGATATGTGTTTTTATGTTAATGTACATGTGTGTCCAGATATGTAACTCAGAGGATATCTGGAAGCAGACTGGCTCATGAAGAACATCTTCTTTAAGTTTTATTACAAACAAGAACATGGCAACATGGCCTGTCCTGCATAGGAAGAAGATAAAGCCAATACTGCATCTCCATGAGCTATTAAATACAACTTTCAATCAACGGGACAATTAAAACGATCTTAAAATTTACTTCTTCTGTCTTTTAATGCTTGCAGTTAGACAAGTTTATGAAACATTCAAATGAAATCATGTGCTGAGTGCAAAAATATGTAATATTTTATTATTAATTCGTAAATTCGTAATTCGTCGTTTTGTTCAGAACATGATCGAATTATTATAATAGCACTTCACTCCGTCTCTGATTGACTGTTTGGCTCTTTTCATTAACTGTAGTGTGGAAAGTGACCAGCAGATGGCGCGCGTTAATAAAGTGAGTGAATGTGCAAAACCAATGCAACATGCTTTCACTGTAGATGGTCGAAACAAAGTATGCCTTATTAATAAAATCACTAAGTATGATAAATTCCGTTCTTAACTTCCTTATTTTAATTTTAAGTGTTTTGAAAGAGAGTCTCTTATTTTTTATTTTAAAAATAGGCAATACAACATTCATATGCAGTCAATTTACACAGCTAAATAAAAATACAATTCACTGAACCTACATTGCCTCAGGGACATGATGACACGCCATATGGGGTAAGTTGTCACAAAAGAAGCTCGTGTTTATTAACATTCATTTGAGAAGAAATATATTTGCTCTGAAATATTTGCACTGAAAAATATTATAGGTCATTTAATGGCTTTGCAGCTCTGAGAAAACTATATGAAACATAAAGGCCTGGTTTCATAAACAGGGCTTAAATTAAGCCAGAATTTGGCCATAGTTGAAATTGGGCATTTAAGAAGCCTACATTTTATAGTAAATGTGCCTTAAAAATGACTGGTGTGCATCTAAACAATGACACGCAGGCACGGGCATAATTTAGGATATGTCATGGCAAGTTTCTTTCAGTTAAAACTGCTCAAACATGCATTTTAAGGTTTAAGCCTTCTGAAACCGTGTTTTTACCTTCTAGACCAGGTTGAAATTACAAAAATGTGCCTAAATAAAAATCTTCAAGCATTTTTGAGTAAAAGTTGGCAAATAGAGTATTTTTTATGCTGAATCCATTTTTGCTGTTTGCCAAGCTGTAAAATCCAAGATGACAGCCTCATTCGCCAAAATGAGCAAATTTCTCAGCACTGGCTCTAAGATAAACAGTTTTTATTGTGATATAGCATTTATTGAGTAAATGAAACAAACTGAATAGTCAGAACAATTTAGATATTCTGTCTTAAAATATTTCTGGTAAACACTGACCTGTTATTTTGTGTATTCGAGTAGCTATGTCCATGTTAGAAGATCAACATCATGCTGGGCAGCAAAAGGCCTGTATCTTAAACCATCATCCAATTACATTATGTTAAGAGTATATATTACTTTTCAACATTTACTTAAACAAGTTTAACGACTGAATTTCACTTTTTTGGGTTATTTATGGAAAAGATATTACCAGAAAGATCGGTTGTAAATATTACGAATTGAGACAAATGACCAAATTACCAACACATATCAAGGTAATGTGTCATGCCACTAACATTAGCTTTGAACAGATAAAGGAAATACAGTAAACTTGGCTTATAACAAACCAAAAGCCTTTTAATGAAGCTTTTTATTAGAATCTAAGTGTATCTGCCGCAGTGATCCTAACTTCAGCAAACATACTGCATGGAAACATTGAGAGAGTCATTCTTCAGATGCATTAGAATTGCATCACATACTCCTTGTGCTGCTACATGGGGAAGCACAAATATCGATCATGTCATTAAATGCCATTCATTTCAAACACAAACTCACCATCTGCTTCACCTGGACACACACACAGCTTAGAACATCCCTACTGTACTGCCGTTTATTTACAAACAACCCATCAAAATCTATTAAAAAAAAATTAGAGCTAAGGTAGAATAAGAATATCTGTCATAAAGAATGACTACAGTTTTTTTCATCCTTTTCTTTACTAATTGTAAATTATCCAGTATTGAAACATAAAATGCCAAACTAAGCTGAAAGTACTAAACTCTGAAAGCAAAATCAAATATACTTCATAAATGAATATGCAATGATTACGTATACAATCTGTAAATGACAGCAGAATTCTGCAAAATCTCTAAGTAGGCCTCACGGCTTACACAAATCAGTGGCTCTGATTACTCAGAAATACTCAGTAAGTAAATAAATGAAAATATACCAAAAGAGCAACAAAAAATATATTAGTATAGTGTCATGTCAAGCGCAGCGGTGTAAAGTCCAGGTTCAGAAAGTAAAATTCCCCCACAGTATTTGGTTCCAATCACCTGGATTTGCTCATTAGCACAGTTTTTCAGCCAGGAGACAGAACTAACTAGTCAGTGAAATCATCTGGCTGAGTTCATGGGTGGAACAAACATGGCAGGAATTTTACTTTCTGACCCCTAGACTTAACTCTTCTGTAGTATCAAAATGTGCCAAAAAGCTTTCTGCAGTAGTAAAGAATTTGGGAAAGAAACATAAAGATGTTGCAGAATACATTAAGGCTGTGACAAAACTCCATTAACACAAGCAAACTCACAAATACAGACGTCAAGATCTGTGATCAAACAAATGGGAAATAAGCTCATATAAACACTCAAAATTGACCCTTCATCTCAGAAAGAAGCCAATTCAAATGGCTTCATCAGTGGTTGTCTTGGTCCATGGTCAAAGAAGAAGACGTAAAGCAAGCAGATTAATGACGTGTGTATACTGCATAGACGAACACAAGCTTCATGGACCTTACCAAGATCACTGAGAATAGTAACACAATTCTAAGTGTCTGGACGTGTGTACAGTTCAAGCTTTAACTTTTGGAATCTTCATGCACCGTCCTCATGCTATTTTAAGTGATAAGGCCTCACAGAGGCGATCTCACCAGTAATAATACCACATTTGAGCAAAACACCACTCCCAGTCACAGGTGAACATGTTCTTTAAAAACACTACATGCTACAAACTGTTAACCTGGCCCTAGCCAGATGAATTTCGCTCCGCCTAGCTCCACTCACCGATCCATTGAAATGGCGTTTCAGAAGGCTGGGCCTTATCAAAAATCCTTGCATATGATTGGATAAGCCACTTGTCTGTCATCTTTATCGACGTGCTATTTCAACCACTCACACCGAAGCCAACCCGTGACGCTGATGAGATAACCTGGCCCTAGCCAGATGAATGTCGTTCCGCTTAGCTCCGCCTAGCTTCACTCCACCAACAAAAGCCTTCAGAGCCGTTCTCTGATGTTCTTTTAATGAAACAATATTAGGTAGATTGGACAACACGGATGAAATAGCAGCATCAATGTTAACGCTTGCTTCCTCGATGCGAGCCGCCATTGTTGTCTGAATCAAAACAGTCTCACGGTCGCTTCTCCACTACGTCACATCTATGAAACTCCCGCCCTGCGTCCTGATTGGCTAAGCCATAAAGTTGGTTGGAGAAATCACTCTCAATGGAAGAGGTTCCAGATGGATGTGAGTGAAGCTAGGCGGAGCTAAGCGGAACGACATTCATCTGGCTAGGGCCAGGTTAACAAACAGTGACAGCGGGTGCGAATTCAACTTCCCTTAAATTAACATAAACTAGGAAACAGACTGCTGCATGTGTGATCGACTGCATGAAGTGTATTTGCAAGTGGCCACTGAAAACTACGCTATCTCACGACCAATTCGTACGAATTCGACGCATGATTAAAAAGTGTCTAATTCGTACTAATTCGTACGACCTCACTCGTACGAATTTGTACGATTTGTATAAACCCACGTGATGGTTAGGTTTAGGGGCGGGGTAAGGGGTAGGTCATTTGTACGAATTCATACGAATTGCAAAATCGTACTAATTTGTATGAGTGAGGTCGTACGAATTAGACACTTTTTAATCATGCGTCGATTTCGTACGATTTGGTCGTGAGATCGGGTTGGAAAACTTGATTCGGTTATGAGGCAGGATAAGCTGATTCAGGTAACCTAACGTCAGTGACTAAACTAAAGAGTGGCATTCTGTAGCATGCGTGTTCAATTCTGCAAATCTCTCATCAGACACTTTGGGTAATTCTGATGCAGATACGCAGAAACATGACAAACAGGAAGATGGTTTGCGGCACAGTCAAGCTGCTGTCCTTGAGCATAGCCCTGAGTTACCATGGAGACTACTGAATCTTGGGCTATAGACATAAAATCTCTGAAGTCATGTTTGAGATGTTCAAGAAAGAGTCATCAAGTCGCCCTTGGTGTTTCACTGCTGGGAAGGCCCATTGCTCAGCAGGTTTCTGGGTGCAGTCTAAAGCAGGTTTCCATGTGTAGAGCTGTCTGGAGGCATTATAGGATCATACGGCAGACTGGCAGTTCCTCTGTAGGCTCTGATTTGCTCATAAGTGGTGGTGTTATCATTGCCCAAATCATATTGACCTGTCGACTGCCATTCTGCATCCGGCATGGGAGCTAGGAGAGGAGATGGGGGTGCAACCTCCTCAGTCCCATTAACTCCATATCTGTATACCACATGAACATCAGGTTTCGTGCTAGTGGCTCCCTCGACTTCCAACTTTGATTGAGACCAGTCGCCTCCATCATTGCTGTCTGTCGGTAGGCACTTGAGGCTGGAATAGTGTCCAGACTCAGCCATGACCTGTTGGAGCTTCTCCCAGGCAGCCGGCGCATCAACACCTGCTTGAGTGGCCTGGAAAAGCAGATTGGCATGTTGGCGGAGCTGGGCTATGTCTCGTTCGGCGGCGGCATTTTGCCGCAGCAGATCCTGCGTTCTTAAGGTGATGTCAAGTAACCCCGACTGGCTCAGAATCTCCACTGTGTTGAGGAAGCGACGATGCCGTGCTGGCCCTTTGTGAGTGTTTGACCCTTTGCCAGTGTCATTTTTTGGTCCTTGGCAATGCTTATGGGGCTCTTTTCTGGACTGAATAAGGTCGTTGGAAGAGGGTGGGGAAGGAGTCTGAGTGCTTGAGACTGACGGAGAGCTCACACTGAGGGAAGTGGAGGGACTAGATGGGCGGCATGGGCTCCGGTGCTGGTGAGAGGCAGAAAGTCTCTCATGGCTCACAGACTGCGACTGTGGAAGGGATTGAGAGTGCAACAGCAAGTTGTTCTCTGGCTGTTTGTGCAGATGCTGCTTAGTCGCTTGCGTGCTTGTGGACACCTCCTCTCTTTTTTCTTCTGTGCACACTCTCTTACTCAAGCTGTGCTCCTCTGTGTTACTTCCCCTACTGTTTGTAGGTTTCTCTGGGGCTTTCTTATTAGGGTGAGGTGCGATTCGAGGGTAGGAGTTTAGGATGGGAAGGTAAGTGCTTTTCTTTACACCCTTGTTTTCGGATCTTTTTGAGTGGGGCTTGAGGGTGTGAATTGGGGCGCTTTGATTGATTCCAGGCTGTTGTAGCAAGAGAACATGGGTGGCACCCTGATTGCTTGTAGTACCTCCACCCCATGACAGTGATGGGGGGTGGATGTGGTCCTGACCAGACTCCCCTGGCTTAGGAAAGAGAAAAAGAGGAGAGACAGTAATATTTCTTGTACAAAGCAATTTCACAATATGAAACATCAAGTAATCCGTTTCTGTCGTAGCACATTTTATATGAGAAATGGCATGCCTTACCAATATCTTATTTTATATAGTTGTTTTCTTATGTGGCTCATTTCCACTGTTAAGTTCACAAACACCTAGGACCTTCGGACTCCATCTGTTTCAAATTTACTCTAACTTTACTCTAAATTTACTAGTAACTCTTTCTCATCAGTCTTTTCAAACCATCCACCCAATTCATTTTTCCCTCTGGCTTTGGTTCAAAATATAGTGAGATGCCCTTTCTACCTTCTACATATGTTTCTGGCTTAGAAGGTAGCTGACTGTGTCAACTTTTTGTGTCTGAGTGGTGTCATACAAAATTAACGCTTAAAAAAGAAAGGTCCACATGTGTACATGCGTCAAATGCCTCCAACTGCCCTTACGAAACAGAAGTTTATTCAAGTGTGCCATTAGTTTCTTGTAAAACTAAAAAGAAGAAAGTATACTTTTATGTACTTCTCAGAAAAATACTTAAAATTGCACTTAATTATACTTGACTTATATGTATAGAAAAAAAAAGTATATTTGGCCTATACTTATACTCAATCTTTTAATCGAGATATACTTTGAATTAGAATTAAGTATTTTAAGTATACTTGGCTTGTTGTGTTTCCTCTTTTGATTGAGTAGCCTATTGATGACTTTTTTCACAAAGTTTTACATGCTGTCTTCTAAACTTATATTGCTTAAAAATATTGATTTTTAAAGAAACCTGATACGTTCCTAATTCTGAGTATCCGAATTTCTGTGTAGGCTAACGTAGGAATTTACTTCAAATCAAATTTTCTCACCTTATTGATTTTTGCACTAGTTCGTCTTCCGATCCAGCCTTAATGTTAATTAGTAAACTAACTTGGCTTGCTGTCCTTGGAGTAGGCACGAACCCGAGGCTTGGCTTGAGCTCCGAGTTGTTTACTCATAATATTTCAAAGTGCACTTTCATTAACTATAAAAAGTACTACATGTATTTAACTAATAATCTATAGTTATACCTAGTATAGTTGCAATACAAATGAAAAACTTGTACTCAAAGTTTTACTACTGTTACACTTGAAAGTATACTTTTAAACACTAAAAAGTGTGCTAACTTAGCATCAATTAAGTATCCTTCTAGTACATTGATATTAGTATACTTACTATATTAAAGAGCCCCTATCATGGATTTTTGAAAATGACTGTTCATATGGTGTGGAATATAGCTCTAAGGGAATGAAAACATCCTGCAAAGATTTATATCTGAAAGTGCACCGTATATAAAATTATTGTCTTTCAAATGTGAGAGTCGACTCTGAGTCTATGAAATGAATTGTTTTTGAAACGAGTCATTATTAGCTGTTTCATAGTGACGTAGATAGGAAACATAAGCATATTGGCCGCGCCCAGTTACTGCGCGCGCAGACGGAAGTGTAAACTTGAAGTCTAGAACACAAATACTTCAGCTGAATCACATCATGTCGAGAAGACGCTGTGTTCGACAATGCAAAGATAGTTCAGCCACTTTGTTTTCATTTACCAGGGACGAGCATGTGAAGGATCGGTGGTTAGAGTTCATATTTGCAATGATACCACAACAGTATAGCCCGATTGTGTTCTCATCATTTTAATTACGAATCGTAAGCGGTTGTTCCCGAAAGAGGTCTCAGTACCCAGTGTATATGGATCAGCTTCCTCCTCCGAATCACAACCTGTAACTATTATTAATAATTGTTGCTTTTATGGGTTTTGTAGCGTCGGGGGGCGAGGAGGGAAGGCGCAATAAGTATGTGTGTGCATGTGTGTGTAAGTTACGCTCAGCGCAGCTTCTAGGTCTCCAATGTCAATTTTTTTTAAATATGTGAAATGTTTGTCGCTGTTATTGGAGTTGTCATTAAGAATAGAGCGTCTTGTAGTACTGCAGTGCTTTATCAATACAGTATGTTTATGCGTTGGGCTAACAAACAATAACTGACTGGGTCATCTGACCAATCACCGCCGATTAGCGTCACGCAAAGGAGTGGTTTGGAAAAATGAGTCGTTGTATGAATCATTTGGGAGTCGGTGAGCAAATCAGGTAAAAATAAATGCATATTATAAGACAAATAAAGTGTTTTTTGTCATTGCATTCAAGTAAAATTGTTGTTGGGGACTCCCAGAACAATATTAGGAACATTTTAAATGCCATAATAGGTGCCCTTTAAGTATACTTAAAATATATTTGAACTTGAAGTTTACTTATTTTTCATAAGGAGGAGCTCAATTGAGTATATTTAAAAAAAGCTTCCATGCTAAACTATGTGAGATGGAGTGGAAAACTGAAAATTAAGTATACCTGGGCCATAAAGGGCATCTATTATGGAAAATTCACTATGGTGTTTGAACATAAATGTGTGTTGGCAGTGAGACGTATTACCGAGACGTACTGGTCTATAATTCTCATTTGTGTTTATTCTGCCGGAGTCTCTTCTTCATCTTGGTCTGATCAGAGACTATTTAAATATTCCGATTCAAACATGTACGGCTGAATGACATTCAAAACAGCGGGTCTCTCTCACTCTCATCCATTCTGCTTAGACCGACTGCCATAGGTATCAAGTTACGCCCTCATCCAAAGGCAGGGCAGGGATATGCAGCTCATTTACATTTAAGGTCGTATACACCAAAACAGCCTATTTTAAAACAGGCCCCTAAAATGACTTTTTCAAATGCTTATAATAAATTAACTGTGGGGTATTTTGTGCTGAAACGTCACAAACACATTCTGGGGAAACCCAAGACCAATATTACATCTTGTAAAAAGGGGCATAATAGGTGCCCTTTAATTGTCATTGTGATTGTGAGAGACATCATAAGTGACCAACCTAGATCAATTCACATTGGCAGCAATTCCATTTGTCATAGAAACAGTGCTGCTCAGATGAGGCATACGTATGTTGGCTACATTTGTATGCAGCTCACTATGTTTTGGAACAGAGCCTCTTACTTTTTCCACTCAGATCGTCTCACCTGCTTTAACACCACATTCTTAATGATGAATATGGGGGTGAGTTCAGGGGTCCCGGACACCAGTATGTGGCTTCCCTGTAGAGGGCCTTGATCCACCCCACCCAAACCTTTGCGTACCTGAGGCTCATTCACACTGCTCTGCTGGTCATCTGCATCAGTTTGCAAGGAATCTGAAGCAGTGTCTGAGAGAGAAACAGAGAGGAGCAGAGATAAAAGCAAAGGCAACAGGAAGGATGGGAAACAAAGAAAGAGAAAAACAAAAGTGAGAGGGGTAGCAGTCTCGGTCTACTAATGACAAATGAAATTAAGTATCACTGATATTACTTAAGCTTCACTACATGGTTAGAAGTACATCCACTTCTAATGTTTAACTGTTTCAGCTGCACTCATTACTAGTATGTGCATTCAAGCATACAGCCATTAAATCTCCTTTGAGATTGACTGAAATGCTGATTTCGTTTTTTTTGTGAAGTCTTACACCAATAAACAAAATAATCGTTTAAAATAGCATCATATGACCCCTTTAATAGCCTTTGGACACAGAGTTCCAATTTTTTGAACTCACAATATTCAGTAGGACTGGTGATGCTGGAATGTGGCACTGACAAAATCAATTGCTTTTGAAGCAGGTTGAACAGCCGGTTAGGGAGTGTATGAGTTAAAGAATTTACAATGACTACAGACTTCCACTCTGTTATAAGATTACATAATTAAAAAATTGTTGGCGTATTTGGCATGCAGAAGAAAACTGTCAAGGAAAATAGACCTTATGTAGCCCCGCCCCTTTTCAGCCCTGCACTCATTGTCTTTTGACTTCCGGTCTGTATTTTACAGCGATCTTGCATAGGTATGAATGAACTGCTCGTAAAAAAATTCCCAGTCGACATTTGTTAAGACATCTGCTTTACAATGCTTATGATCAACATTACAATGCTCATGATAACTTTTGTTAACTCTACAATAAATAAATCCACTTCACCAGCTAATTACTACTCGACAGCGATGCCATAGAAATATACAGAGCGACCGCAAAAAACTGAAGTTCAAAGACAATATTGTAAAGATGACGGCGCCCACGTTTCTCTGGTGCATAAGGTCTATAGGCAAGTCATTTATGTACACTCACCAAGGATTAATAGGAACACCTGTACAATTTCTCATTAATGCAATTATCTAATCAACCAAGCACATAGCATATCTCCTGAACTCCAAACTGAATGTCAGAATGGGAAAGAAAGATGATTTAAGCAATTTTGAGCGTGGCATGGTTGTTGGTGCCAGACGGGCCGTATGAGTATTTCACAATCTGCTCAGTTACTGGGATTTTAACACACAACCATTTCTAGGATGAAACCATTTCAAAGAATGGTGTGAAAAGGGAAAAACATCCAATATGCGGCAGTCCTGTGGGAGAAAATGCCTTGATGATGACAATGGGCTGACTGATTCAAGCTGATAGAAAAGCAACTTTGACTGAAATAACCACTCGTTACAACCGAGGTATCCAGCAAAGCATTTGTGAAGCCACGACACGCACAACCTTAAGGCGGATGGGCTACACTGCAGAAGAAACCAGTGGGTACCACTCATCTCCACTAAAAATAGGAAAAAGAGGCTACAATTTGCAAGAGCTCACCAAAATTGGACAGTTGAAGACTGAAATGTTGCCTGGTCTCATGGGTCTCGATTTTAGTTGAAACATTCAGATGGTAGAGTCAGAATTTGGCGTAAACAGAATGAGAACATGGATCCATCATGCCTTGTTACCACTGTGCAATGAGTTCACTGTACTAAAATGGCCCCCACGGTCACCAGATCTCAACCCAAAAGAGCATCTTTGGGATGTGGTGGACACTTCGTGCCCTGGATGTGCATCCCACAAATCTTCATCAACTGCAAGATGCTATCCTATCAATATGGGCCAACATTTCTAAAGAATGCTTTCAGCACCTTGTTGAATCAATGCCACATAGAATTAAGGCGAAAGGGGGTCAAACACAGTATTAGTATAGTGTTCCTAATAATCCTTTAGGTGAGTATATATATAGGCCTCATTTCTTTCTGATTGGCAAGGCAATTTGAATGTGTTCCTCCCAAAATGTGTTGATAAAACATCACCTGGATTTATTTTCATTATGGATAATTTATCACAAGAGTTCCAATCACCAGGGGCCTCATTTATAAAACTTTGCGTAGGATTTGCGTCAGAAGTGGCGTAAGGATGAAGAATTTTCGGATTTATAAAACCGTGCGTACGTACATCCTACGCATTTTTCCCTTAATAAATCACAATCAATTCTAAATATAGCGCAGCTTTTGCGGCTTCATGTCACCCATAAATAGTCCGTGAAACGCCCACAAGTTAATATTCATCGATTGCGAAATCATGGCAAACACAAAAAACGTAACTTCACTCAATGTGAAGTAAAAGTTATCGTTGGCGAGGTGGACAAGAGGAGAAAAATGTTGTTTGGAGGGCACAGTGTGGGCATTACTGATGCCAAAAAGGTGGCAAAAGGTTGCAGACGCCGTAAATGATGTAGCCTCACAACCTCGGACTGTGGCCGAAATAAAAAAGAAATGGTCGGACATCAAAGTCGAGGCAAAAAAGCGTCTAGTCATTTATTCAAGGTGGCCAAGGAGTTGGGCGAAATCAAGACTGTCCTAACTGAAATAAACTGCACAATGAGGGAATTCTTGAATAAATATTATATTTTTTCCACACCTTTTGTTGTGAAGATGATGCGTTCACTCTGAATCCTTCCATTTAATCGCCACATCTTCCAAGAGCGCAATATCAGCCATTGTGCGTCATTACGCATTGTGATGGGGCATTTTATTCCCATCCATTTAATTCTGCATCTGACAAGCTACGGATGTCGGCTAAAATCTATTTGGAAATGGGAAATAGTTCAGCGCAAATGTAATTTCTTGCAGCTTTCCGAATGGTTGAGACATACGTCATACGTTATTAAAAATAAAACAAACTAAAGGCATACGCATGAATACCATGATTCCGTAGCTGATGAAGACATTTTTACTATAAAAACAACTTTCCCCAGTGGACAAATAATACATCTATCTATTTATCGACCTATCTATATATCTCCCAAATTATCTATCTATCTGACTGACTATCTAATTGCTATATCTGCTCCGTTAGACGGACAAATTGGCGAGAATATCAGTTTTGTACATTATTTCGTTCTGTTTAGCTTCTTATTTATGAGGATGAATTGTATAACATGCCGATTTTATTTCAGAATATATTTCACTATCTTTTTGGAAATATGTGTTAATTTGCATTTCTGTTGCAGATCGATCAAACTGGTGTTCGTGTAGGCTGTTAATTGTAAGACTTGCTTTGTGAAGTCTACGTGTTATTATTGAGAGGCAGTATTGCCATTTATTTTACACAACCGTCTAGTTTCACACACTTTCACGTGTTTTTTCCAACTGTCGACGGTGTCGCTATTTCTCATTTCACCCGTTTTTGTTCGTACGCCAGGGTCAGAGCTTGCGTGAAGGACCGCACATTTTACCGTCAAGTTTGCTTTTTATAAATACCAACTATTGCGTAGAGAGCGGCGTACGCCTTCTTTTGTGCGTACGCAACGTTTATAAATGAGGCCCCAGAACTTTCACTCACTATTTACCAGGTAAGACTTATTTATTGACAAATTACTTTATAAAAATTACTATAATATATATATATATATATATATATATATATATATATATAATTGAAGACTGAAACCTGATTGCTTTGAGTTTTTGTATTGAATGTTAGGACAATTGTTGTTCTTGGTACACTTGTTTTTTTTACACTTGCATTATACTAATAATAGTGTGACCCAAATCTCTTAAGGGTGAATGTTACAGCAGGACTGTCAATCAATACTCACCTGAGTAACCAGAGTCTTTCTCAGAGCAGCGGGATTCACGTCCGTATGTTTCCTTTTCAGTGTATGCTCTTGCTCTTGATGCCAAAAGGGCGGCACGGTTGCTTTTGTCCTTATCATTTTTACTGGCTGGACGAGAGGTGCGTTCCCTCTCCCCTACACACCCTTGGGCATCTCCTCTCGGTTCCTTGGGCATCCCGGGCCCTGGGAGCAGAGATACACAGCTGGGCAGACAGTGACCTCATCCAGAATGTATTTACCCATTTCTAACATTTTGTTCTAAAGGTTCTTACATACAAACATGTTTGATCAGGAGCACCAATAACACCTATGCCCACAAAGGGTTGTCTAGAGGTTTTTGTTTTTTAAAAAGGTAGCAAAAAAAAAGATTATTAACAAATTCAAGTAATGATTATGTATATTGTGTTCTGAAGCTGCTAATAGGCTTTTAAAGAACACTTAAATGTATGCAAATTGTAAATTCAAAACACAAGGTACACGTTTTGTCACTAGTTGCATTTTTCTGAATGACCAGTCTTTTCTGTAGTGACCGTTAAAGTGTATTCAATGCTACTGCACAAAATGTAGCCTTTTTCTAAATAACTGTAACTGAGTAGTAGTCACTTAGTATGCATCACTGAACTCACTGCTAATAGACAATTGTTTATTGTAATGTCTTCTCATTGACCAACATTTCAGACACACACAGGCTTCTTGATACAAATACTTTCTATTATGTTAATTTACATGGGACTGCATGAGACCTGTGCTTATTAGGGAATTTTATAGAATAGATACTGCAGCTATACAACAGATAGGCTACTTTCAACTCTAAAATTCGGATTGGATTGATTGTGGTTGCTGCTGTAATGCTGCGTTTATGCCATGTCGTAATGACCGTTATTTCGAGATGACAACACGTGAGGTAGCCTACTATTCTGATGTTTTCACGTCCATGGATTGGGAATTACGCATTTCTTTGGTCAGGTGGTACAAGTAACAGTTTACGGGTTGTAGCCTGCTACTCCGGGAAACTGGAATAATTACGGTAGTTAAGACATGGCTCGCCTCGAAACCACCTTCAAATGCTGCTAAAAACTTCATCTTAGCTCATTGACACTCATGAGTTCAGAGATAATTTTTCATGTGATCTCTTGTCAAAAGCAGAAAAATTAAAATCCATTTCACACTTTTAGGGGCCTAAAAAAATCTCACTGTGCCTTTGCATACAACATATTCATCACAAATATTTCATTATATTTATGTACATGTTGACCGGGAAAATAAATATATATTGTCAGAACATAGTTACGTTTGAATGCAGAAAAATGATTTTTGCCGTCATGGTGTAGTTCTGGCATCTACCAGCAACCAGCCAGTTCCATAACGCATTTTGCGTAGGCTACTGTTGAAGAAGAACAGTGATAAATCTTGCCAGAAAAAAAAAAAAACTACAGCATGTGAATGATAAAATGTATAGTTAACGAAAAAAAATGTATGTAATTAATTAATGTAATTAATTAGCTCTAATGCTTAATCATCATTTTGCATTACTGCTCAAATCTGTAAAATACTAAAGAGGACATTTTAAATATGTCCATCGATGTTATGGCTGGTATACGTTAAAAACGAGGCATAAAGCGCAAAAAGTTGGCGACGTCTGGCAATCATTTACACAGCCTAGGCCTATAACGTTACTTAACTAATGCACAAGTTGGAGAATTTTATAACTACAGTGGTGCTTTGTAACATTTCGGTTCTATAATAACAATAAGCCACTAAATTCCGAGAATTTAGCCATTGGTTTTGCTTTAGTGACTTTTGTCCTATCCCTAAATCAGGAAAATAAATACTAAAATGGCAGAGAAGCTTTTATTACATTAGCCTACCCCATCTCTCATGCAAAAACGTCAACATATCCTGACACTTTTAAATATGCGTCTATACGCACATTTCATGTAAAGGTATAAATCATTGCTATAACAGGTTAAATATGTTCCAAAAAAAAAAAAAGTGAAACAAAGCGATATCTTTTGCACAAGTCTGTAAATTATCATGATCAATACAAAATAGTTCATCGTTCTTTGGTCTGTGGCATGAATTATCCAACCAGGAGGAAGGACGGTTATTTATTTTAGACGCACACACACACACACACACACACACACACAGCTCTGAGCCCTTCCCTCCCCTGACTGTTATGTAATATTACAACAACCGAGCCGAGCTCAGTCTCCAGTCTCCACTTCCTCCTGTTGACACCACATACTAGACAACCTTTATGTGCAAATAAAGCTGAAGCTTAATGCCAATGGGTACTAATAAAATATACACCCAAAGAGACCTAAAAAGACATCATTTGTTTGCAGAAAACTGAAATATAAATAACACACCAGTATTGCCTACCTTAGTAATGTACGATGCTGGTCCCTTCCGAGTGTTCGTCTCTTCTCCGACTCCGACCAGGGGTGCAGACACTCCTGAGTCCTAACTACCTGTCCAGGGACAATCTGTTTCTCCCGTCATCTTTCTGACATGGATGATGGCCACCCAGCGTGAGCGAGCCACATAACCTTTTGCTGTACTTTTTTTCTGATGGTCTTCAGCTCGGGTTGGTTAAACCTCCTCCAGCCCCGTACGTCAAAATTGCCGAATGACAACTCCACCTGCAGTAACCCCCGCCTTGCTTCATCAGAGCACGCCCACTCGAGTGATTGACATTTCACCGGGCCAATAGAGGCAAAGGGATTCTGCCATGTCTCGCCCCGAGCACGAGTGACGCAGGGGAATATGTGGCATGGCCAATCCTGTGAGCAGGCACGTGGAGAGGAGGAACGAGACGTTATGACAGCAAGCAACTGAAGTTACGGACACGAAACATAACCAGACGGAGGAGTGGCGAAGGTAGAGACCGACGCATGTTGATTTGGCTGTCCATGTGTTCGATATTTTGTAATCCTGACCACTGACTATGTGTTGAGTAAAATAGCCTGCGGAAAGCATTTAACATGTATCCTTGCAGGTCAAAGTTTAAATATTAGGCTACAGCTTTATATTTGACACTTTTCTTTAGTGTCATAGGCTACTTTCATGTAATTTGTTGGAACGCACGAATTGTACGATTAAATGCTGCTAAGTGGTTTAGGCTACACAAGATGTTAACATATTGACATTCTTTTCTTCTTTCTAGGCTAGTCTCACTCTCAATATAAGCTTTATATGATGAAAATATTAAATTTAGGCTTTTATTCACATATTAACATTCTTCAACTCACACCAGTTGTAATAAACGGAAGCTCAAGCATGTTCTTGACACGCGAGAAAGAGGTTCACTCCCGTGGGACAGAAAGCGCCCAGACTTCATTAAAAAGATCTTCGTGTGTGTTCCGAAGATGAAAAAAACGTGAGGGAGAGAAGGCTAGGCTATTAATGACAGAATTTATATTTTTGGGTGAACTGAGTGTAATGAAGATTTACCAACATTATGGTTTCATTTTGTCTCTTTTTTTAATTATCTATTTCAGGTCATGTTTTAGCTTCCGATTAGAACAATGCAGCCTAATTAAAAATAAATAATTTTGCAAAAATAACAAATCCATATCTAAAGGTTATGGTTGTATAGGCTACCGACGCGCATATTTCATTGAGCAAAACTCCCGGAAAAACCAAGGCGCGCGGGGGAAATGTTTCGCTCCGTGAAATCTTGTGTCTCACACGCGCCTTTCAAATGTGTCAGATTTCGAGCGCTCAGCTGTTCTACTACAGTGCCACGTGGTTTTTTGCAGAGCTCAATGACGCCGCGCGCTCGGGTCAGCCAATCAGCTGCGCGGGCGTGCGCGGACATGTGAGAACGAGAGTAGAGGAGCTGCGCGCACATGTTCTGTGCACATGCGCTCGTTGACACATTTGCGCTCGGCTCAGGTGACGTCATAAATAGAAAAGAAATCACAGCAATTGCTAAATCAGTTTTTTAAACGAGCGTAATTAAGATAATTTGGAACCGTTCCCACAGTCTGAGGGTTTGACATCACGTAGACATTAAATATGTGCTGCTATAATAGCCTAGAAATGGTTTACAATCAGCAGATTGAGGAGGTCAAGCACACAGCCTACCTTACCGCATCCCTAATGCTTTCAACAAACTGAACACAGATGTGTCAGGAAAATATAGCCAATGCATGAAATTAGCACAAGGCAATACAATACAATAGTGTTATGATTTTTTTCTTAATGTTCATTAGCTTCAAAATGAATCAGCAATAATAATGCCTTTAACATGCAAGCAGATCTGGCACCTCAGCACATGACGCCCCTGCTGAGAGTCATGTGAGAAGGAACCTCCTACACAGGATTTAGAAGAATAAAAAAAAACGTTTCATTTTTTATGACATGAAGCATGTATAGATTCCCAATGCAGTTTTCCAAAACATAATTTTATTTTACAATCTTAAGACATGGAAAGCACATTTTCAAAAACAGTCACCAACATCCATTCCAGTTTCTAAAGTTCACACCATAGCATTGAGAAACACTTAAAAGCTACATAGACATAAATCCTTTTTTTTATTCCTTTTTACATCAAGGTGGCATAAGATTACAATAAAAAAAATTACAAACAATTCAGTCCAAAAAGAGTAACCAGCTCTCAATCCTCACAAAGTTTACTTCCCTCCCTATAGTAGCAGCGCTATGAGCGGTCCCGAGCATTTCCGGCCTCCTCACCGGTGTTGGAGCGTCACGTCCGAGGGCACGACAGGCCCAGTAAGCCAGGGGCGGCCTTCAGGGCAGGGTGCATGCTGACATGGAGGGTTTGTATGGTGGAGAACTTGATGAAAGTGGCACGGGTCTCACGAGTGTGTGCTCTCGCTGCTGCCATGGCCATGATCTGCATTATACTGAGGAGAGCTGCTTCACTGCCTCAGAAATAGTGGGGAGGGACGGTGGAAAGAAACATTAGCAAGATTTATTCAATCAAATTTGAATATCTTTCTGCAATGCAGATTTTAATTGCCTAAAAGCATCAAATAGAACTAGTTCTATCAGAAACACAGTGTGGAATCTGACAAAAGGATATCTTGAAATGATCCCATTATTCTTACACATGCACTACCAGTCAAAAGTTCAGAATTATTTAAAATTGGGGAAGTCCAGCATTATGGACATTACATTTGCAGTCAAAACTTCTCAGAAAATACATATTGAAACGTATATAGGCTACTTCCTTAAAGGACTCCAGACATTAGACAAATATCAGTCTATGTTTTATTTTTAATATTAGGGAAAAGACACACATTCATGCGTGACAAACAAATAGGAGGCAAAATATATTTTTTTGTAATTCTGTTAATTACACTGCGCAAATCGGATGAGGAAGGGTTGGCTCTCCAGTCTCCATAGAACTTAAAATATTCATTTTATTTTAGTTTTCGTGTTCGCATTTATGAAGAAAAAACAATGTTACAGACGCGACCGCTCTGAACTGGCACTAAAAGACTGCTTTAAAACTTTCACATAGTTTGTTGTCTTTAAGAAGTAAAAGCAGACAATATAAGATAAGGCGCGGGGGCGTGCTGGTGCGCGTCTCATAAATAGCCAATAGGCTATACCGAAACTCAGCGTATAAGTATAGCCTACTCCACAGACCTGAAAAATATATCTATACTGAAATGTCTACTTGTAAACAGAACAATTCAAAACGAAAGAAAACAGACTGCTCTCTGCTTATGAAATGAAATGTGCATTTCGCATTCACTAGCCTACTGCGAAGTTTGCGAGTCAGCATCGTCATCTTTATTACTAAACAATTCAAGTCTCCTTGCTATAGGCATATTTGACATACTCCTAATCTTTGCTTTTTCCATCAGCTTTTAGTAGCTTTATTATCGCCACCCTTACTCCATAAACACGTCACCACCGCATCAAAAACATGATTGCGTAAGGAACACATGACAGATACCACCTAAACATAGCCTATAACTGTTTAGAAAGAAAACACAGAACGAATAGCCTAATGTGCATACATCCATCTCACGAATGTGGTCTTCTTCATGCCATCCTCACCCATTAGGCACTTTTCCACTGGCCAGCGCGAGCACAGAGGCCGAAATCATGATATAATCAGATAGATCAGTCTTTATTTACAAGCTTGGACACCACACGCGTCTATCGACTGATCACGAACAGGTAACTCCTACTTGCATTTTCCATTCGTTAATGTCTCACGATCTTGATGTATTTTTATTTTTTACAATTAAAACTAAAAGTCAAGCCTCACTGTAATACAAGCCTCACTGAACATGTAACGAGTAAAATATTACTGAAAATTGATTAGTAATGCCTTACACTACTGCGTTACAGCAAAAAGTAATGTTACTGTAATGTATTACTTTTGTAATGCGTTACTCCGAACACTGCTGGCTACTAATGTCATACTCAAACAGCGTTGGCATTAGTTTACGTTCTTGATCAAATCGAAAATAACGTCATTAAGCATACATGAAAAAAAAAAAAACGTTTAAAACATTAGTACTTATGCTATTTTGTCTACGACAAACGCGTACAAACATTATGGACCTGAATTTAGTATAACTAGTAGCCTAGTGGCTATAAAGCCAGCGCTGGTATTTGAAAGAAGAAAAAAAACCCCGGAAAATAAACACAAGGCTACGTCTGGAATTATACATGCAAATACATTTAAAATGATGAAGTCTTAGCCTACTTACAGGTTGTGGCCGAACAACGGCTGCCTATGGTTTTAAAGTTGAAACTGCTTCATGTTTTAGTAACAGTTTCTTGTTGAATCCGGTGTTGAATTCGTGGAGATTCTGGAAGCTGTCTTCCGTAAAATGCGCAGCACAGAGAGCTAGATTACGATCGTCATTTTCAGGAACATAATCAAACATAAACTGTATCCATTGATGACGAAGTACAGCGTACGTGGGAAGCTTGAACACAGAAGCCCTGACAGCTGGGTGAACAAAACACTCGACGAGCATTTTCCGGAGGGTTGATGTAAACGTGTGGGTTAGTGACGTCTAAAACCCAGCTGTAGTCCCAATCGAGTCGTTTTTGTAGGCAATTATACTTCCTGATTTTTAAAAGACGACATCTCTGCTTACACTGAACTTTCAGTGCTGCAACTTGGCAGATACTGTTCATGCACCAACAGCAACATTACACACTATTTAAAATGAAAAAAGTTAAATCGCAATCACCCCCCCCCCCCTTTAAGGAATTAATTTGATTAATTGTTACTCAATTCTACTTTGTTACATTTAATTAATAATATTGCTTGTAATCTATTACCCCAATTTTTTTTTTTGATTAGATAAAGCATATTCATTTTTACAATGTGCTAGTACAAACATTTGACTGGTAGTGTTAATCACTGGAGTCTCTTAAGGTCCTTGTCAAAACAATGCATTTAAGGTTAATCTCCCAGAAAACAATCTAAAACAGGGGTTCTCAAACATTTTGGTGCCAGGGACCCCTTTCAGGGGAAAAAAAATTCCAAAGACCCCCCTCATATTTATAACAGTTATTGAGCACAAAGTTAATGTGTGAGCGGCAAATGAAATATTTTTGCACAAAATGAATGGTCTCCACCCAGGGTACTATGCAGGAATTTCTAAATAGCCTACTGAGGTAACGAAAGTGATCTTGCTAGGAATCACTTAGGATCCCTCACTTAGGAATTTTTGATGTTCTTGATCTACACATGTGCATTTTAAGGTGTTTTAAGGCCCCACAATTGGATAACTATAGATTTAGTAGAAGCATGTCAGTCAGTGGCATACATTTTTTTTTTTTTTGTCAAGATGTCACGAAACACAATCACATATTCCAATCAGGAATGGCCTTAAAAGAGAAATGTTTCAATAATTAGGCCTATTCTGCACACAAATAAAGCCCATAAGCCTGTAAATACAATGATAATGGCATTATGTTTAATAGGTGCGTGCGTTGTTAATTTGAGCTACTGTAATTAGCTAAAAAAAAAACATACAGTATATGTTAAATATAATCCATAATGTTAATCTCATGGGCACAGTATGTTTCTATTGACCTGCTTTTTCCTTTGTTAAAGTTGAGCTTGATTAATACTTTGCAAACTGATTGTTTCAGTCGTTTTTTAAAACTTTTATCTAAAACAGCTGTTTAGTTTATGTTAATTAAGGCCTACATCTTATCTCGCACTTTATGACCGTTGACTGAAACGTCGTGCGGGGAACTTTGAGTTCACTCCGACTCAAACATTTTGACATTGACGAGCTATCGTTGTAAGTCTCCTGAAGCACCTCAGACGAGAAGGTCAGTATCATCGCGATGTGCATCCTTGCAACCTCAGTTGTGGGTACGGCCCTGTCACTATGCACTTTTATTTTGATAATGATCAGACTTCTAATGTCAAATCTACAGTAGCAGTGCTAGAACTGACTATTGTGCGCGCACGCGAGACGCCGGCGCGCAATTTTTTCCTCAGCAGTGGAAACAGGAATACTCTTATTTATGGTCATAGATAAGACAAGAGTGCATCATCCGAAACGGTAAAGTGTCCATTTTTTTATTTGTGTATAGGCTACATTATAAATGACTACAAAATGTCATGCCTTTTAAAAATACAGAAAAGAACCGGATGCGGGTTCATGCCGTCTCTCTGTCTCCTTTCTGGCGCACGTCCCGCAAAATCAACAGCAGCGAATAGTCTACTTGACGCAAAGACATAGATTATCTATCTATAGAAAACTTTAAGTGTCTACTTTGTATTGTTTTATGTTAAATGCTTTATATAAGTTACTTAGGAATAAACAGCATGTTTTCAGATGATAAAGAAAACATGACTCATAGCATGGAAAAAAACGTTAGGTTGTAAATTATTTCGCGGACCCCCTGGCTTTAGCTCGCGGACCACCAGGGGTCCGCGGACCCCACTTTGAGAACCACTGATCTAAAACACCAACAACACAACTGTGAGCAGCACTAAAAGGCTATTCTCCTGACCTTCCTTTATAGATACTGGAGGCAATGCACCAGGCCGTCTCTCCATCTGGAGTGGGAGCTTCCTGGAGGATCCTTCGGGCCAGTCGGAGGGCAGCACCAGCCAGCTGAGAGGGCAGAAACACCACACACTGCTCCTCCAGGAGCGACAGCTCCAACAGGTACCGGGCCATCCAGACCCACTGACCAAACCATTTAGGAACACATTTTGTTGACGTTCAAGTAAGAGTTTTTGCTATTCTGTTTGGTCCTACTTCACTTTTAACAATGGTAATAATATTTTAACATTTCTTATTAGCTTCAGTTTAAGCTGAACCTTTAAACTGACCTTGTCGCTGCAGCGTGCAATGGAAGCAGTGATGAGAAGAAAGTGAAGTGGGGGACAGTAATAAAGATCAAACTTGAGCCCAGTTAAAACTCTCCTCTCCATCCGAAGCAGTTGTTTCTTACTGTAGGCATTCTCCATCAGATAGCAGAGCTCTGAAACCTGACCAACAATCGATAGCTTAGTGTCGAGTTCAGTGTTAAAAATAAGTTTAATGGAGATGTGAAGTACCTCTGGTAATAGACATTCCTCTTTTTTGGCAGCCAGAAAGAGGCAAACCACACCCAGCAACTGCAGGCAGGAGATGGACACTTTGATGAGCCTTAGCGCTCGATTCAGAAGGTGTACCGCCAGATACAACGTTTCCTCTGAGAACTGAAACACTTCCTGAGGTGAAAACAAGTGTCCATTATGTAATTAGTAGTAAAAAAAAAAAAATTATGCATTATACATTTCAGGTCAATTTTGTACTAAAAATGACTGTTTTTAATCCAAGCCTGCACTTATTTGATAGTTATAAAAATACTATACAGTCTAATACTCTAAATACTATACAGTCTAAAATACCTTTTCAATTTCTAAAAATGTAATTTTTACCTGTGAAGACTGATAGAAAAGCTGAATTGTCAGTTTCATCACTCCAGTGTCACAATATCTTTTAGAAATCATTATTTGGTGCTCAATATACATTTATTATCATAATCCTGTATTGAATAGTTTTTCTGCTTAATATTTTGTGGAAACCATGATACACTTGAAATATTTAGGGCCAAGTTTTTTTTTATTTTATTTTTTTTTATTTTTTTAAAGGAATCAATATTTGAGAAAAGACATTAAACTGACCAAAAGAGATGTTTATAACATTAAAAACAGTTCTATTTCAAATTAATTGTTCTTTCACTGTAAAAAAAGAAATATATATTTATGCACATATATTTCAATAAGTTATGACAATCAGAATAAGTGAAATAAATTGAAGTATAATCAATTTTAGATTATAGCAAATTTAATTATAATTGAAAATATACAAGATTAAACTCATTTTAAGTTGATTTTATTTAAGGCATCAACTTTTCTTTTTTTACAGTGTTTGAACTATTCAAAGAATTCTGGAAGACAAAGTTTCCACACAAATGAAAAAAAAAAAAAAAAAAGTTTCCAAAAGTGGAAAGAACCATTAATAACACACCAAAACAGCATATTAAAATGATTTATGAAAGATCATGACACTGAAACAGCTGCAAAAAAAATCCAGCTTTGCCATCATAGGAATGAATATATACTAGAGAAAACAGTGCATTTAAAATGTATTACTATTTTTACTGTATTTGTAGTATATTAGACTTATATAATAATATTAGACAGTATAATATACTGTAGTATATTAGACTTTTATAATTAAGCAATTAAATCATTTAAATTGATTATTAAATACATAATTAGTCTAGACTTTTGACCAGTAATATAAATAACACAATAAGGATAACACACCTAACTCTTATATAGTATAATCCACACTGATGGCTAATTTCCCCTCTCATTCAAGAACAGATAAGGAACAAATAGGTCATACTTACAAATTTGCATCTATTGCACTTACATGGACTTGAATTAGCCAGTCAACTAAAATAGCTCTGGTAATGTCAGTGAAAGGCTTGGGAAGGTCAACGTTTGGGAGAGTGCATAGTATCTGACTTCTCTGTAATCAGAGGGAAAAACAACATGACCACAGTGAAGGGAAACCAACATTATAGGCTAATATCAATCATACCCTCACCATCATGTCTAAAAAGATGTCCCATGCGTAGGTCTGGTCATAAAGGAGTCCCAGCTTGCTGATGGCTACCTCCACCTGTCTGCGCAGAAGTCCAGGCATCAGTTCCCGCAGACTTGGTGGACCTGGCAACCTGTTCAGATACTGCAGCAAAGCCTCCTCTTCACAGACATCTAGCATGGTCACACAGGATTGATAAATGTTCAACTGAAACACTAGAAACCTTCATTCCAGAACACTGTGGGTTAACATGGGCTATTATGAGCTGATGCACTATAGTGAAATAAGTAGTCTGCACTACAGTCATCCATGAGAATAAGTCTGTAGAAATAGAAAAAGAAAACCATCCACATAAAGGAATTTTCTGTATTCTGCATTGTCATTTAAGGGTTAATCCTTTTGTTGTGTTCAGATCATTTTCTTTTGCACTAAAATAGTTAATATAAGTTACCACATTGACCTTTACACGACCTAGGGGATTTCTAATAGCATAATGAGAGATTTATCGATTATAGTTATTAACCCCAAATAATGGAATCAATATTTTTATCAAATTCATGGTTAAACATTAAAGCACATTAGTGTGATAAACAGAGCAAAATCCATATTTTGTGGAATATTGAAAAATTATCCACAAATAATGCACTTTTTACTCAAAAACTGAGGCACATGAGGCCTACAATCAATTAGACCCAAAAAGAAACACAAAACCTGTCTTAATTGAAAAAAACCCCAAACCATTTGCGAACAGAGTTGCCTGGTTTCACAGACAGGGCTTAGATTAAGCCAGAATTAGATCTGCATTTAGTTCAGATATGACACTTAAGATTTTATAAACGTGCCTTAGAAAAAAAACAGAAAAAAAAAAAACATTACTGGTGAGCATATTGAGACAAAACTCAAGATATTTCAGTGGCAAGTTGCAGCTCAAACATGCATTTTAGGCTGGGACTAGATAGGAAACCAGGGTTAAAATGGAGGAAAATATATTAGACCTAAATTAAAGCAACATTGTGGTAGCGAGTTTTACAAGGATAAACGCAAAAATCTAGTTGGCATTTTTAACGCATGCAACTTAATGAAGCATGTGCATGAGTTAAATTGGGCCATGTTGGGCCAAAACATTGTAGTTGTTGGATTAAATTTAGCATTAACATCTAAATTTAGCAGTAACTTGGGTTAAAGGGACACTCCACCCATTTGCATTAAGCTTTCCATTGTTAGAAACCCAGTCATTGAATGGTCATGCAACACTTTCCCAAGAGATGAGAGAAATCTGCTATTTACCTTTTTCACTTCCTCCTACAATGACGCAAAAATCGTCAGTTTACATCATTGTAGGAGGAAGTGTAAGAGGGGAGGATTTCTGTAAAGACTACAAGCACTAGATCTCACCCTTTCATACCCACCCATAGGGGGTTGGGCCTAATGCGCAAACAGACCCATCACAGATCAGTGCCAGTGCGTTTGATTTCACTGGCAGAAACTTTTTGAAAATATGGACGAAGGTACTGAATGCGCAGACGGATGCATTATGGAGGATTGGGATTACACAGTGTGACAGCCATCTTTTTTGGAAGCTAAGCTAGCAGGCTCTTGTTCTGTGGAGAAAGCCGAGAAGTAACTTTAGTGGTTACCGTCCTCTTTTTCCCAGACATGTCCGGCCGTCGATGTCCGGGATTCAGCTTTTGCTTTCTGTAGTCGCCATATATTGTTTACATGCAGAGCTTTTGTTTCAATCTAACTGAATTCATTCTGATTGGTGAATCTGAATGTAGTGTTTACATGAACGCTAAACAAGTGATCGGTTGATGTGCGTTTTTAACATTGCTAAGAAAATTTGCGCTCCTCCGTGAGAGATACGAGACCGGTAACTTGCGCCTCACACGAGTCACTCATCGGTAATCACGCCACCGGCCTCGCGCCGTTCTCCCGTGGCCCTCACGCGTCCTGCTCGCCACAGTAAACATGAATGCCGACGGTAGAACGCAAAAGCCGAATCCCGGACATGTTGGGCCATCTCGAAACACATTTTCGGTCAGACTCATCACGGAGACTCACTAGCCTAGATTTGTTTACCTACTGCGCTGTAACCGGTTGGCATTGCCTCCTAGGGCAGCGAAGCAGTGCATTCTGGGAGTTGTCATTCATCCACATAAGCCAAAAACACATTTTCGGTCTTTCCTCAGTCTAGAAAGCTCCAAATTCAAAAATAATTTCACATTTCTTCTACATAAATCACCCATTTTAAAAACACATTCATCTTTCCAGAGGTGGAGTGACCCGTTAAGGGGTGGTCACAGTCAATCCATTGACTTCCATTCATATGCGAATGCATGGGAGTGGAAACACAAGCCCATGCGAAGATGTTTCACATTTCGATGAGTTCCAAAGTTCAGGTTTGGTGAACTCTGCGAACTCCTATGTGAAACCTTGTGACCGACAGAAGATCAATAAGTCACGGCGTGACCTCATAGCTGAATAAAGAGCAAATTTTAGTGGACTAGATTGTATAATATCATATTGATTCATTTATGCGTTGAATTTATGTTCAGAGAATTCGTATGTCTTGTGTGACATGACTTTAGATTTGGTACACTAAATTGAGAACAATGTATACAATCATGGACTACTTAAGCAGCATTGAACATGCCATTTCATGTCACCTGAAAGTGGTACGTCTTGAGGAGCATAGTCCATTATGATCCCATCCTCTGCAGAGATGGAAAGCCTTCGAACCTTGAGAAATGGCAGAATGGTGATGAGAACACGTCATTTGAAGAACCACATGTCCACCAGGGTTATTTATCCATTACATGCAGAGAAGGTTACAAATTATTGCATTAATCTGGCACATAAGACATACGGCAGAGGTCTTCACCCCTGCTCCTGGAGATCCACTGTCCTGCAAACTCTAGTTCCAACCTGCTTCAAGAAGAGCTGGACTGCATGTCCAGATTTTGCAGAGTTGTTGATCCTGGAACATTCCTGAATTTTATCCAAAGCATATCCCTACCCCTAAACCTCATGGTACGCATAACGTATCCCTAAAATCATAGGTGAACACTACTGATGTAGAAGCACCAAACCCTGGTTGTAAAGCCAAAGTTGACAAACTCTGAAATTGTCCTGATTGGAACTCTGCTCCAGGATCCAAAGATGTCGATCCAGGAACATGTTTCACACAGTGATTGACTTGATAAGCTGCTCCAGGTGTGTTTGATTGGGGTTGGAATTAAACTTTAGGACAGTGGGTCTCCAGAAGCAGGGTTGAAGACCTCTCACCTAAACAAATGGTGCTAAATAGCACTAAAAGTGGTTCATTGGCTTGTAATCATAGGGGAACCACTTTAAGTGCCATTCAGCACTTATCTTTGTCATATGGTGCTATGTAGAACCATAAGAGGTGCCATAGAGCACATTAACCACCTCAGAGAACCACTGAAGAACCAAACTGGGCTTAACAGGTTCTTTAAATGATAGTGGGGCTATATAGCACCACAACGCAAAGAACCGCTGAAGAACCTTTTTTTTTTGTGTGTAGTTTGAGTGTGTAGTTTTTTTGGAGTGTAGTTACCCATCGACTCTCCTGGGCAGGTTTGCAGTGCTGCCCTGACCCAAGCTCCTCTCCTTCAGCAAACACCCTGCGCTCCCTCAGAATACAGGAGTTTGCCCACACCCGCAGAGGCGCTTGCCCTGCCTCAGTCTTTCAAAGCACAAAACAATTTCACTTATTCAAAAAAGGTTAAAGCATTTACCACCTTAGAGTAGCAATCTTTCAATCCAAAAGTACAGGATCTGTATGAATCAAAAGACATTCATTCCCTATAAACTCTACGTTTTCAATTATGAGCGAAGTAATGTCTGTGGATAATCTCACACAAAGAGCTTTTACGTGACAAAAAAAATGGCTGTATACTTAAATGTGAATTCTGAAACCCTTGGTCAATTGAGATACTTGCATTTTTTCTAAGGACACAACACAATCTCAATTGAGGTGTAATTATACAACAACATTCCTTCAAGGAATGTTTACCACAGGCCTCATTTTATGCAAACATCACATGGACATATATTTTGGTCAACCCAATGCCAGCAGATATCAAGAATGTAGTTGATACTAGTGAACTTGTACACAGTTTCCTGCTGATCAGGTAAAATGGTTTTACTGGTCACATGTTGGCCATTATTCACCATACACCAGAAGTCTAGAAATTAAAAGAGAGATTTTACAGGAATTCTCACCATATGGAGGTCCAACAGTTGCCTGGAATCACAAAACCCAGTCCGAGCCATGATTCACCGAGACACTGCAGCTACCTTCACTGACACACAGCATCAGCTAATTAACACCAGTGCCACTAATAAAGCTTACTAATTGGCCCGTCAGTAAGCCCCGCCTCAGCTTGCTCTTGTGATGCGTGTAAATTTGGAGTCGGAGAGAAATTGTCCTAGTTAGAGTTGCTATGTTCCCCAAACAAACTTGTCACCATGACTTTCTCCAAGATTAATAACATAATTAAAATAATATAATTTTTAACAGGATAAATAAATTAAACATTAAATTAAAAAAATATCAAACTAGCCTATCTAATTAGTTACATGACCTGAACATTGATTTAATCCTGTTCATATTTAAAAGTGTACCATATTCACAGAATGAGTCTGTGTTTGTGTTAAGAATGTTCTAGTGGTCACCATTGGTTTATTTCAGTGTCAGTATAGTGACAAGTTTTAATCCCTTAGACTAGGCGGAGGTCCTCAGCCCTACTCCTGGAGGCCCACTGCCCTGCAGAGTTTATATCAAACCTGCTTCAGTCTGTGACTTTCAAGCAAGGTGACACAAAATAAAACCTTGCACTTTTCTAAGCATGTAAAGTGGATAACTATATTGTATGGTGGAATACCACAGCAAGTGTTTGGGAGCACTTCAACTCGCGCGCATGTGGACTCGGCGTAGCAATATCATCACTCCGGAGAGGGAGAAGGGGGAGAGGACTTTTCACGAGTCAAAGTGCTCTGCTCCCAAGCACTTGCGCTATTTCGCCAAAATAATTATCCATTTTATACGCTTAGAAAAGCGCAACGTTTTATTTTGTGTCACCGTCCTAGGTCGAGTTACACTGCTCGAGTGACTGTATTTAAATAGGGAAAACAAGGAGGTGTTTGGTCGCTTCTCTGCTTGGCCCATATTGAATGAACTGGGCTAGTTAATTGCTATCAAAGTGCCAGAGCGATTGAGTGCATGCACTGAGACGACAGAGGTATGTCCAATTTCGGAGTCTCCCAATGTAATGAATCCATTCTGCAATCCATTTTAAATACAAAATTCAATTTTTTAATTTTCTTCTCTCAGAGAAATTAATCACAGTTTCACTCTTTCTGTGATTGCCTGCTCGCTTCTGATGTCACATCAGTTGACAGAGAAAGTTTATGATCAGCTTCATGGTACCAACAAAGCCTGGTTGGATTGGTTTGGTTTTGTCAACTCAAAACTAATCCTGCATCCCTGGTACAGGCCCGTTTTCTTAAGTTTACATTTTCAGGCCCCCAAAACTCTGTTGTCGTGTAAATGAACAGCCAAAACTCATAAAAGTTTTCAGTTTAGTTGAAGAGTAATCCTTGAGAGTAATCATTCCCAGAATAAGTGAATTCTTGAATTTAGCAGCTTGTCAATCCTCCTTTAGCAGCACAAGCTCCACCAAATGTTTCCTGTCGCAGACTTTTGAATCCCTCCACGCAAATCAGTTCAGCAGTATTGCTGGGTTGTCTTGATAGCACAGTCCTCTTTAGGCTATACCACAGCATATCGGGACACAACACGTTTTCTTCTTGTTCAACCTTTCTTTAGGTGATTTGCTTTGGTCTTTTTCACATCGTTCAGGATTGCCTGTTGTGTTTGTTGCATGACCTTTGCAGGATGTCCTTGATTTCTCTTGAGAACAACACATTTATCAGAAACCAGACATTGTGTGCCTTTATTTAAAGGGCAGAGCAACTGTGCAACCCACACTCCCAATCTCATCTTAACTGATTACGATTAGCTTTTGGAGAAATTATACACACAGGACGAATTGATGTGTTTGTAAAACAGCTCTTTAGTCATTACAAAGACTACTGGAAACATTTTTTGATGACTATGCATATAAATTCCCATTTTAGATGTTTGATTTGATAACTCATTAATTAATTCACTTATTTTGATTCTTCATGTTTTCTAGTGAAGACTTAATGGACCCATGTGCAGCAACCAAGATGTGATTATTCTGCACGTCATTCCAAACCTGTATGATTTGCATTCTTTTGCAGAACATAAAAGATGATATTTTGAAGAATGTTAGTAGCCACACAGTTTCAGTGACCAAAATTGTATCTTCCACTGAAGAAAAAGGGATGCCAGTTTGCAACAACATGTCTGTAAATGATAAGAGAAAATTCATTTTTGAGTAAATTATCACTTATTTAGCCTAGGTTTTAGGTTTAAAGGTTAGGGATTAGTGTAATGTTAGAGGTTAGTATTTGTTGTGTGGGAAATCAGCACCGTGATGGGCATGACCAAAGAAATCAACTGCGATTCCAGGGCTGATCATTGTCCACGACAATATTCAAATACCCATAGGTTATTATACTTGACATGTAATGACTGTCAGAAGATTTTCATACAATAAGAAAATTTATGTTTAATATAGAAATTTCCATCTTTTTAAAATGAATCCTTTAGGTATTTATTATTTTAAACCATACAATTAAATGTCAAGTTTGCCATGATCGTGAAACCCTTCTTAAAAATAAGTTGTTGATGGTGACAAATTAAAATAGGAATAAGTTTCCATTTTGATATTTTTGTTTTACTTCACTTGTCTAGTCTTATTTTAAATACATTTATGCCATCTTACAGCCCCTTAGTGAGCCCTCGTCCGCTGGAGGAGCACCTTACTGATCTACTGTAAAAACAAATACACTTTATCTAATCAAAAAAATTGTGGAAACAGATTACAAGCAATATTATTAATTAAATTTAACAAATTAGAATTGAGCAATAATTAATTAAATTAATTCCATAAAAGTTAACCATTTAAAATGAGTAAAACTTACAACAACAAAAAACATACATTTAAGTCACCATTATGGTGATCGGTGTTTGTTTACATCAGGTGTCTTCAATGTTGGCAATAAAATATAAATTGTTCTTAATCGTTGTCGTCTGTTTGTTATTCAGATATCAATTTGATTATTACTCAATTCTAATTTGCTAAATTGAATTTGCTTGTAATCTGTTGCCACAATTTTATTGATTAGATAAAGCGTATTAATTTTTACAGTGCAAAATATCACTGGTTTATAAACAGAGTTCCAATCACACGCAAAAACTATCTCCCTGTATTTTTTATGTATTTTTTTTTTATGTATTTATGTATTGTATTTTTGCAGTGCCATAGGTGCAAACAAATATCCAGAACACTACTCAAGTAGAATTAAAATACAATCTCACCGTTGTTGGACTAATCATAGACATTCACGACTACTCTATAAAGTGTATGAAGCTGAACGCATTCTCACCCCAAGGCGTCACCTTTGACCATGCTTTAATATTTGACGCTTTAGGTGCCCTTCAGGTAGGACGCGATCCTACGGCGTCATCTAACTGACGCTAAAGGGCGCCTAAAGTGTCAGATATTGAAGCATGGTCAAATTGCTTCCCAAGGCGTCAGTTAGGTGACGCCATGGGGGTGAGAATGGGCTGGAAGATATTAAGGTGTATTTTAGCTCCATGTACAAGTACTTCAAATGAATACTTTTGAAAAGATATATGTTTGAAGTATAAACGTCTTCAATAAGACAAATAAATATTAGATTTGAATATTATATTCAAATGAGTACTTTTGCTGTCCACTAAGTTAATTTCACACACTGTTTGGGTTAGTAAAAGAGGCAGACATACAGTTTTTGGTAAAAGAATTTACTTGCATGAATGTCCTAATAGCAAAGCATAACCCATAGCACTCTGTAGCAAAAAAAAAAAAAAAAAAAAAAAAAAGAAAAAAAAAGTTTGCTGACATATTTCAAGTTTCCCCTAACGTTTGCATCCCCAGCACTAAAAAAAAACAAACTGTGCATCAATGATGACATTCGTGATTGTTCATCACATTCAGAACAGAACAGTCGATGGTTAAAAGTTGCAAAATAATTTCACTTCAAAGCTGATTTGTCCAACAGGTAGGTATATACACACAAGAAAGATGGGTGAAACCACTACAGCAGACCGATTCAGATCTTTGCCCCTCACGTCTCACCCAAAAGTTTCTCTTGTAGCATCATTAATGTTGTGAACGAGAGTGCACAATTGTTATTCATGTACGGAGCAATGTATTATTTAATGACAGGCAAATGGCACCACCTAGCGGTCTCTCTCAGTCAAGGCAACAAGGGCTGTTTCAAAACCTAGACGGCAATCGGGCATGATGCGTTTAAGACCCGTAGAAGCACTTCAGTCCGGCCCTGCTGCTGTTGAAACCAGCGGACCTTCCTGTATGAGTAAGTCTATGGAGGAGGGATGGTAATATATATATATCATGTTTAAACAAGAAGGATCGTCATATCTTAAAGGAGGGTTTTCATTTCCCGTTGCAAATATATACTGTGACTACCTTATTACACACCCACACATGCACAAATGAAGCGCACACTCACACAAAATGGACAAAAGAAACGAACAAACAAAAAAAAAAACTTTACTACTGTAATATAAATTTTATATATATTTTATCAAGACAATTTAATTTCAGGGAGTAGGTGAATGGAACAAAAAGATGAAGGGGGAAAAAAAAATGATCCAAATAAAATAATGAATAAAATAAAAACCAAAAAAATAGTTTGATGTTCCTTACATGAAGAATCTTTAAAAAGGCAAAAGAAGAAAATAACACCTCACACATCCAAGCGGTGTGTTGTGACAGCTTCTGTCTGGAGAAGCACGCCTACCTTACACATCTGGAGATCAAGTAGAACATTTCCTCTCAGACATCCTAACCATTTTTTTTTCTTGCTGCACTAATAAAAAAAAAAGGAGAAATGAAAAGGCTGCGACAACAATGGCGTGGCACGCAGGTACGTGTTTCCACCGTTTGCTACTGACGCAGTAGCTATTGCAGTTAAATAACAGGACAAAGGACATTCAAATCCTCTTTTTTTCTTTTTTTGGTTGTTGTTGCCTATACATTTGTCTCTAAACTTCAACATCAATGCCTGCGAAACTGTTGAGAGAATGAAAACAACATGATGGAGAGTTTCTATGATACACTGACCTTGGAACATCAAGCCTCTGGGGCAGCGGATGAAAACTGGCCTCTCCAGAAAGCCGGTTTCAAGGTTCACAACCTCCCTGTTTACATGCTAGAGATGCCTTCCTCTCTCTTTCCCTTTAAAGCACAAACATTTTCACATCTATAGTGTGTGTGTGTGTGTGTGTATGTGTGTGTGTGAGCCTCCCAAAACCCCTAACAATCCCACCCCGGTCCACTACTCAACGTTATGCCCATGTACAAAAATTGAAACAAAGAGACACACAGTTTAAGAAGTAGATTTGAGAACACGCATCCGTCCGTCCGTCCGCACACGCACGCACAGCATTCGGTATGCTACCCAGGCAGAGAAACAGCACTATTCCTTTCGGTGTTACCCCATCATCGGTCCTCCCGCTGTAAAAACACTATTGGTAACAGCTAGTTCCAGAAAGAGCACTTGTACAATTGCAGAAATATGGCTTTAAAACTGTAACAATCAGTGGGGAAAAAAAAGTCCAAATGGTTTGATTTCTTTTGTCCCCACAAGATGATTTAGAGCGTGTTCAATATTTGTGTTTACAAGAGGCTTTAGTCCTGTAGTCCAGTGTTGAGTGTTAGCGCGTGTCCTGAAACCTGCTGGTGCTGAGCGGTGTTCCACGATGGTCTTGATTGGTTGAGATTCATTCAGTGATTGGTGGATTGTGTTGCAGCGTGTAGTGTCAGGCTACGATTGGCTGGGTGGAAAGCCAATTGTAAACCAGGACTGACCAGAGGGTACCACCTGTTCGAGATCATTCACAGATGCCGTACTCCCGCCTAGAACCCGCTTCCTCGGAAGGCTTGGGTTGCTGGTGCACGTGTCCTTGTACGAGTTTGCGTTTGTGTGTGAGGGGCGTCCGGTTTGCTGGTAAGGGTGACAGAGTGGTGGGGAGGGGAAGGGACGGGGGTGGTGGTGTGGTCACTCCCGCACACTGGCTGAGTAGGAGAACTGCGAGAAGTGTGTACGTGTATCTGGGTCCTCTGCATCAAGACTGTCATCTGCAAGTGACGGAGACACGGGGCAATGGGAAAAAAAAACAAACAAATCAGTTCATAAAGTCATTTATTTGACTTCGAACTCGTTCATCAAAATGTCAATTCGTTCGTTTCGTCCGTTGAATGAACCAAACGCCTCGGAAAAAGATTTGTTCGTTTTGATGAACGAGTTCGAACAGGAGAGTCACAAACAGAGCAAGGCGACCATTTGAGCTTATAAAACTTAAACTTTGTTATTTATTTATTAAAGGAGTGATGGTTTCCCTTATTCAGCGTCTGGAATCGTTTGAAACCCTTTGAACAGTTTGCAGTTTGTTCTGAAAGTGTCTTTTGGACCGTTTGGTTCCCAGTGAAGTCCATTATATGGAGAATAATGCTGGAATGTTTTCATCAGAAACCTTAATTTCTTTTCGACTGAAGAAAGAATGACATGGACATCTTGGATGACATGAGGGTGGAGTAAATTATCAACAAATGTTGTTGTTTTTTTTAAGTGACCTACTCATTTTACTATCACTACTATTATCTCTGGCTAAATGCAAGTTATTGATCTTATTGTGAACAAACCATCCGTGCACAGGTTTAATTTTTTTTTCTTATTTTGACCGTAATGTTTAACCATATAAAGCCTACAATATCTTGTTTGATACATACATTAAGGCCTCTTAAGAATCAACATGATTAAAACCTGCTGAAAAACCTGTTGTACACAATCTTCTACATGCTTAGTTTTGTCTGATTAATAGTGTATTTACTTCAGCTTTATAGTTTACTTTAACAACTAACAGGCTTTTAGTATAATAAACAAAACTGGGTTGTAAAGGTTTTTTAATAGAATTATATTTCTACACCTTTTTTATTTATGTTTCTACACCTATTTGTTGTGAAATAGTCTATAGACCACTTTTCAGTTGGTAAACATGGTGAAGTTTTTTTGTGGGCGGAGCTTAGGTGGAGGCAGAACGATCCCTCTGGTCGCTTCACTAACGCTAGTTAGCAAGTATTGTTAGCTTGTTTTTCAACAATGACTGGAGAAAATCCGATTTTATCTTAATGTGTAAGGTCGCTCAGTGTCCAGGACCGCGATTGTTATTTCCAAAAGTTATCTTTAACGGACGGAACCAGATTGTCCGACCCGTAGCCGTCTACACGCTCACTCAATGCATGGACGATCTGACAGGATTAATTTTACGTTACCTCGGTTGAGTGGCCGGACTTCTACACCTACCTTATAGAGAAACCGATCGTAAAGAGAAACTGAGGGCATATAAATCTTTAGATACCTATATGGTCCTGTACAAGACTTGTGTGTACGATCCGCAGTTCTGCCGAGCCAGCGCCGAGACCACGACAATGTAAAGAGTGACATTACAGTGCGATTTTAATGATGTGAATATTTTCTAGAAATAAAAATTCCAGATACAGCATATTCATTTATTCTTGCACCAGACAACACAACAAGATTACATTCAATAATAGTAACAATCATTTAAGCTCCTTATTATGTAGCCGAATCTGTGCTGGTTTGCATTGTCCGCCTCCAGTTTTCACTTTGTTTTGTCTCCAGCTAGCGCTGTGACGTAACTGTGACGTCGGCGCAAAAGGGGTCTATAGGGCCTAAATATTTAGCCGAAACAATGGCTGTAATAACTTATCAAAATGCTCCTCTGAGTCATTTTATTCTAGCTATTGAGCTATGGACATAGCATAGCTTTCCTGAGGTAAAAAAACATGGCAGGACACGTTTTATTGACTTCTATACACTGTTGATTACATGTGACCAGATATCATCCAATAAGTTGTACTGTACCTTTCAACATGCCTTAAGTTCAGGGTTAACCATTCTATTAAAAAAAATGAAAACATTGACCTAATTCATATGTCAGGGTTAATTAAATTGTCATAACTGGATCTTTTCCGGTGAGAAAGACAGACTGTTGAAGTATGCTGGACTAAACCCTGCACCTTTAACCCTCCACTTTAAGGGTCAATGTCCACCTCGCAAAATCCAATAACCACCCTACATTTTTTCTTTTTCAATAATCCGTTATATATAATATAATATGTAAAATAAAAAAAGACACATTTAAAATGCATCACCATCACTATTTGTTATTTTCCACAGAGTGGCTCCTCCGATGTTACTCCTTTTCTCAAACACACAGAAGAGTTGCAGACAGGCAGTGAGGAAGGATGAGGTACTCACATTGGTCAGGTGGCGTGACAGTAATGGTCTGTGCAGTGAACTCATCGTCAAAGTAGCGTGTGTCTGTCTCTGAGGTCACTTGTGGCTTGAAGGGTGGGATGAGCTGCAGTAAACAGGAGGAGAGAGGCGAGTCTGAGAAAAAAAACTCTAGAGAGCATTGGGTTCTCTCAATCTCTCAATGAACATAATCTAACTAATTTTTAAAATTTATTTACAGCTGAATTGTTGCACGTAAATGTAACAAGCAAAGTATTTATCATAAAGTTCTATAAATAACATTACAAGTTATGTCAGAAAGATGTCGGTGGAAATAGAGTCATCATTGTCCCAACATGTAGTGAGCCAGCTTCCTTTACCGTCCTTACCAGTGCCCAAATTCATGAACGCGGTATACTGATTTACTAGTTTGAGATGCACCCATTACAGGGTTTCTGTAGGTTTCATTAAGTCAAATTTAAGACCTTTTTAAGACCATAAAGATTTAAATTTAAGACTTACACGACGCATTACCAAAAAAACATTCGGAAAAAAAAAAATTTAATTTCAATGAATTCAGTAATTGAAAAAGCATTTATTTAATTTACAAGTAAAGCAATCACATTAGTAACCTTCTACACCCAACGTGCCGAATGCCCAAAACCTTAGGCCTAAAATGAAAATAGGTTCAAACAAACTTGCCCTCAAATAGAATAGTTTTCATTTCATACTTATTTACATTACAAAACAGCATATTAATAGCCTAATAGAGATGTGTGTGTGTGTGTGTGTGTGTGAAAGAGTCAGAGAAAATAACATATACAAAAAGTATAGAAATTTGTACTTTGCATTTTATACTGTAAAAACAATTACAGTTGATCATAACTAGAGATGAAATGGCATGAACATTTAATTTCATGATATAATGAAATCTATTTGCTAAATGTATGTCGAAACCCAGCAAATAAATAAAATTAGCATCAATATGCACTTTTTGTTTACATAAACATTAAAATACCATTAAATATGATGGCCAGATTTTAAAGGAGTGTCTTGCAACAGGTTATCTACAAACATGTACAAGTTAAAATAATGTCTTCACAAAAAAAGTTTTAGAAATAAACCTAAAGTATTTCAACCTTTAAATAATCTTTTATAAAAAGAATGAGTCAAAAAAAAGATAAACTACTGACATTCACGTGCACATCCCCTTATCTTTTATTATCAATAGTAAAATTCGGGCTGATTTTCCTGTTGCGTCTGTCTTTGCTATGGAACCGACAAAGAGATTTTAGTAGCTAACGGAGTTCCACCACCAAGAAACGCTTGCTGTAGCTCTGCTACAAGATTTATTCACGGAGAAGAGAAAAAACCCAGATCCTTCATGCTGACTGAGCTTTCAATGTTGTTACGGAAGGGGCTGATTGATTGGTTCTTCATGACCTGCGGTGCGTTTGCGGCATTCTGAATCTGAAATGGTGAGATTTTTTCAATCTCGCTGCGGATGCCACGCGCCTATATTTGAATGAACGGCCTCTTGGCGAGCTACTAATGGAAGCACACGAGCGGCGTGTTTGAACCGGTTTGAACCCCTGCTCGATCTCCTGCTCTAAAGCTCCGCTTTGCAGGCTATGACTCAATTCTTTTTTGCTACTTTGTAATAACTTTCTGTGGTCAGAGTTTTGGGAAATGAACAAGGGTAAAATCTTTTTTAGACCTGACTAAATCAAATTTAAAGGATTAGTTCACTTTTGAAAAAACTTTTGCTGATAATTTACTCACCCCCATGTCATCCAAGATGTCCATGTCTTTCTTTCCTCAGTCGAAAAGAAATTTAGGTTTTTGATGAAAACATTCCAGGACTTCAATGGGAACCGGATGGTTCAAGGTCCAAAAGATAGTGTTAATAACACTTTCAGATGCAGCTTCAAATGTCTTTAAACGACACCAAACGATGAATAAGGGTCTTATCATGCGAAACGATCGGTTATTTCAAAACTTATTCCAAAAATGTAACTTTTCTAAGGACAAATGCTAGCCTTGCTATATTCTCTGAGGCGCGTTTGTAACGTCACGTAATACGTAATAACGTTCAAAAAGTCACGGGCGACGTAGCCGGAAGTACAGAATCAAAATCGTCCGACATCGTTGTTTTTCCTTTTAATTCCTTTTTTTGTAAACGGTGTTTGAGCTAGTTTGCACGTTCAACCTATGCGTTCAACTTGTAAACACTCTGACTCTGTACTTTCGGCTACGTCGCCCGTGACCTTTTGAACGTAATTACGTAATACGTGACGTTGCAAACGCGCCTCACAGAATAGAGCAAGGCTAGCATTTGTCCTTAAAAAAGTTAAATTTTTGGAATAAGTTTTGAAATAACCGATCGTTTCGCATGATAAGACCCTTATTCATCGTCTGGTGTCGTTTAAAGACATTTGAAGCTGCATCTGAAACTGTTATTAACACTATCTTTTGGACCTTGAACCATCCGGTTCCCATTGAAGTCCATTATATGGAGAAAAATCCTGGAATGTTTTCATCAAAAACCTAAATTTCTTTTCGACTGAGGAAAGAAAGACATGGACATCTTGGATGACATGGGGGTGAGTAAATTATCAGCAAAAGTTTTTTCAAAAGTGAACTAATCCTTTAAGACCTCAGATGAAACTCTGGCCATTTTTAAGACTTTTTAAGGCCTTAAATTTAAAGTTCAGAATTTTAGACTTTTTAAGACTCCGCGGAAACTCGTGATGAATTCATCTGATGAATCGGTTCTCTCACTGTCTTAAACTCTTGTACCTTCTTTTGAAGGACATCTTGCCAGTTCATGGAATTAAAGAACTTGTGTGTCATCACTTCTTTGGCATCTTCAGGACTTCCTCCAAGCCTTGAAAAAAAACAAATTCACATTATTTAAACATGCACACAAAATCTTCTTTTCTACCAAAGTAGAAACAGACGCTCTTCTAACCTCTGTTTGGGGTCTTTCTTAAGGAGGCCGGCCAGCAGGGCCTTAGCCTCGGGCGAGAGGTTTCTAGGAAAGCGAATCTCCTCCATTAAAATGAGCTCAAACAGACGCTCGTGGTCCTGGTTATAGAATGGCAGCCGACCACACATCATTTCATACATGACCACTCCCAGACCCCACCAGTCCACCGCACGGCCATAATCGTTGTCTTCTAATACCTACAGGAAAGAGGGGGAGATGAAAAAGGGAGCATATATATATATTATATTGAGAGAGAGAAAACAAGCAGCTGAAACAAAAAAACTCTTTAACATTCGGTTTAGCATATTAAGGTCCAAGACGCTAGTGCTTAAAAGCAACATGAACATAGTCGAAATACTATTGGGTAAACTGGCAGCGTGAGGTATAGCACAGACCAAAAGAAAAACATTGACACAGAACGCACATTTCAAAGTAAAATAACTGGCTGTAGCATTGTTTCTCAGAGTAACGACCAGTGTTGTCAAAAGTTGGCGCTGTTGAGCAGAATCGTAAACGCCTCAATTGTCAATTTTGTTCATGCGATCAACGGATGTCTGTGTGATTGGCTACGATGATCAACGCACTAAGAAATTATAACATGGGAAAAGACCTAGGTAATATGATCAGGCAAGAGCTAGGACCCAAGCAGGCATGAAAACAGGTCAGGGGTGAAAAAGGTGAGAAGGATTTTACCCCTCTAGGGGGGTCCGGGGACATGCTCCCCCGTAAGAAAATTTTAAATATTCTATATTTTAAAGCATCAATCTGATGCATTTTGAGACGCATTTTTTGCCAACCGGGGGAGAGCTGGAGAAATTTAACTTCAGCCATTAGTCAAAAATATTATGGCCTCTGTAGCGTTAGCTAATAATAAAATTTAAAAAAGGCAGATACCTATCCGTTACCAATGCAGTTTTAAAAAAAAAAAAATCAAGTAGAATTTCTATAACCTTCTATAAACAAAATCTACTTAATACAGACAACTTCCTTATAAAGAAAAAAGAAAAAAACGATCATAACCTATGACAAAAATGATATTATAAACTAGATTAGTGGGTAACTAATTTTAAATTTAATAATTTTATAAAATCAGGACATTTAGTGAAAAAAAAAAATTAGGGAACAAATAAGAGACAATAAGTGTAGCACTAAATCTGGTAAAACGTTACACATTGCTCTTTGTATTGTTGTAAAATACATTCATGAAAAACAAGATTAAAAAAATCAAAAAGATCAATTATTTTATAGTCTACTATATAATTAAGAATATATATATAGCACAAATGTATAGCACAGCTGTTTAAGAGGCAGCAACATATGATAGATGGGACAGAACAGAACAAAAAATACTATTAATAATCTCACAGCGCACAGCTCTGTTTAGACTAAGTTACGCATTGAAAAGTTCAAATCAAAAAGGAAATACATATCGATGCATAGTGTATTATACTGTATCTATCTATGCAATAGTTTATAGCCTAGAGCCTTTTCTTTTAACAGTTTTAAATTTCAGTTACTGTTAGGGTTGGGTATCGTTTGAATTTGAACGATTCTGATTCCGATTCCGATTCCTTGTTTCGATTCCGATTCCTAACGATTCTCGATTCCGATTCTTCTAAGAGGCAGGGTCAAAAAAGTCTAGCTAACCTTGCTAACCAACGGCCTTTCTGAAGGAACTAATCCTTTCTGAAGGAAATACTCCTTCTGTAGAAATACTCCTTTTGTCACAAATTTTGCATTTTTCCGAGATTTCGTTATTTTTAGAAAAGTGAAGCCACACTTTGGATCGCCGACGTAAGGTACTCATGTTTGACTCGCGCGGTTATGCCAACACTTCCGGTAGACGCTTCTTCGTTGGTGTTGTTCAGCGGTTTCTTCTTCCGCTCGGCGGACTGTGAATATCGAAACTAGGAATCGAAATTTTAACTTTTGAACGATTCCGGGAAAAACCAAAAGTTAGTCCCGGTTCCAATCGATACTCGATTCTCGATACCCAACCCTAGTTACTGTGCGCGTGTTGAGGGGTTTGTGTCGCCCAGATTTGCTTCCCCCGGTCTGCATTTTCACCAGACATAAGTTTATCTCCCACACAAAAACAGAATTTCAAACCAAATATGGAAAATTCCACGAAATTCCGCGTTAACACAACATTCCGCGTTAATTGGTCAATTCATAGGGCCCTTGATTAACATTTAATCATCTTGGAGAGAGTTTCATCGTTGCCGAACGTGACGCGTGGTGCTGTTTGAATGTTGAATGACTGACAACGCGCTGTGCTGTTTGCTAAATGGAGAATGACTGAAAAGTCGACACGCTGTTTGTTTGAATGCTAAATGACTGAGGACACACTGTTTGTTTGAATGCTGAATGGAGAATTACTGACAGCTGCAGCGGGGGGGAAAGTTTACGATCAGTTGTACCCCCCACCCACCTATAAATGATCTATAAATTGGTTGAGAAAACATGTTAATGGAGTGAGTTGGCAGTACCTCAGGAGCAAGGTACTCTGGGGTCCCACAGAATGTCTTCATGGTGGCCTCATTAGTAATGCCCTCTTTACACAGGCCAAAGTCTGTGATTTTAATGTGACCATCTTTATCCAGCATTAGATTCTCCAGCTGCAGAGAAAAACGCAATTCAAACAGAATTAGGAAATCTGTCATTAATGGTTAAAAAAGGAACACAGACTTCATGCCTTTGTGGTCAATGACACAATTACACGACATCCTTTCCCAACGCAATTCACAAACTATTTTCACAACAATTACACAGCACATAAAAGGAGAAAACCTTTAGGTCCCTGTAGACGACATCTTTAGAGTGCAGATACTCCAATGCAGAAACAATTTCAGCCCCGTAGAAGCGAGCTCTATCCTCCGTAAACACACGCTCTCGAGACAAGTGGAAGAACAGCTGGAAACAAGTAAAAAGGAGACACAACAGAATTTTAAAAGAGACAGAATGGTGAAGGCTTTTAAGTTTGTTTTTGTAAGGGGCGAGAGGATGTGACAAACCTCGCCTCCATTTGCATACTCCATGACGAAACACAGACGATCTCGTGTCTGGAAGGCGTATTTTAGTGTCTGTAGTCAGAAAGATTCAAAAATTTGAATTAAATCTAAATAAAACCAAGATAATTGTGCAAAAAAACCCAAACAAACTAAAAGTGCTAGACATACTGTAAGGAATGGGTGCCGTGTGTTCTGCAACACTCTGCTTTCTGTGATTGTGTGTGCGACCTCGTCCTGAAACAGACACGCACACCCCACCAAGTTATTAATATAAAACAAATAATTCATGAGGATTTTAAACTTTGATTTGTGAGGTGCTCACCTTTGCAATGATGACCTCTTTGCGTAGAATCTTCATGGCGTAGTACATGCCAGTAGCCTTTTCCCTCACTAGAATCACCTTTCCAAAAGTGCCTTTACCAAGCAGCTTTAAGTAGTCAAAGTCACTCATTGTCTGAGGAAGAAGAAAAAAAAAAATCAAGTTGAATCAAGTTGTTTATTTTATATAAATTATTTCAGTTAAAAACTGAATTGAATTAGTGATGCAGATCTGAATCATTGCATACAAAACAATTAAATTAAATAAACGTGCCCCATTATGCTTTTTCGGATACTACCTTACATGCAGTGTGTTATATAGCTATTTGTGAATGTAAAAGGTCAGCAAAGTTTTAATTCTGCAACGAGCTGTCAGTAATTCCAGTCTTACTTCTTGCATTAACCTACATAGGTTTGTAACAAATTTGCATAATGCTAGCTTTAGGGCTGTGCATCAGCAACAAAGTCACAATACATATCCCGATTCAGGGGCAACGATATGATATATATCACGATACGGGTCTGCGCTAAAGTTTTACCTAATATTTCTCAGCAAGGAGTTGGTAACATTACTGTTTTTGAACAGCGATTAAACTCACCACTTCAGTTAGAGAAACGCGGCACAGACTGAGGTAATTCTCACTCTCTCTTTCAGGGCCGTAAATAAACACTGACTTGAAGTATTAAACCTTTCTGTGAATCGAACTGGAAATCGACAACCATCAAGCTTACTGGTGTTTTCAGAAAGCCAGCGCTTTTATCCACAGTGGAGACAGAGTGTGTGCACAGGGTTGCCAGGATGAGAAAAATAAGTAAAAAACCAGAACAGATCAAATCAGATATTTCCGTATTGCGGAAGTGTGAAGCTCTGATTGGGAGATTACATCTCTTGATTTATGTTTCTGTGTGGGCCAGATTAAACCTTGATCTAGCCTATATATAATGTTCAATTCATTCATTTTTAATTGAACCGTTTCAGACACTGTGAGAAAAGAGGTGATGCTGCAATGTACACTACCGGTCAAAAGTTTTATATCGGTAAGATTTTTTATGTTTTTAACAGAAGTCTTTTTTGCTCACCAAGACTGCAATTATTTGATAAAAAATACAAAAAAAACAGTAATATTGTGAAATATAATTACAATTTAAAACAGTGGTTTTCTATGTGAATATATAGTTAAGTGTAATTTATTCCTGTGATCAAAGCTGAATTTACAGCATCATTACTCCAGTCTTCAGTGTCACATGATCCTACAGAAATCATTATAATATGATGCTCAAGAAAAATGTATGACTATTATCCATGTTGAAAACAGCTTTTTACATTTTTTATTTCAGGATTCTTTGATGAATAGAAAGTTCAAAAGAACAGAATTGATCTGAAATGGAAAGCTTTTGTAACATTAATCACTACCATTCAAAAGTTTGGCGTCAGTAAGAATTTATTTTTTTATTTTTTGGGGAAAGAAATTAGAAAATACTTTTATTCATCAAGGATGAGTTAAATTGATCAAATGTTACAGTAAGGACATTTATAATGTTAGAAAAGATTATATTTTAAATAAATGCTGCTCTTTTGAACTTTCTATTCATCATAGAATTTTGGGGAAAATGGTACACGATTGTTTTCAACATTGAAAATAATAATTTGTTTTTTGAGCATAAAATCAGCATATTAGAATGATTTCTGAAGGATCATGTGACACTGAAAACTGATGTGTAATCAGCAACAGTAATGATGTTGAATATTCAGCTTTCAAATTACATTTTAAAATATATTAAAATAGAAAAGAGTCATTTTAAATTGTCATAATATTTCCCAATATTACTGTCATTTTCATGAAATAAAGCAGCCTTGGTGAGCAGAAGAGACTTCATAAACATAAAAAATCTTACTGATCTAAAACTTTTGACCGGTAGTGTATATTATGACAAATTTAAGTTTTTATTGACCATGGATGCATGTAAACCTATTGTAGGACACCTTCAAAAAAATTAGGAACTAATTTTTACTCTAAAAAAATATATATATGAGTAATGGTATTAGAGAGGGCAAGGTGATACCAGAGACATGAAATTAGCACAGCTATGCAAGAAATTGGTTGCTTGGGACAGCAGTCAAACTCACCACTTTGGTTCGGGATTTTGCGATCGCAGCCTCCATCCCCTCCAAGCTGTTGTCTCCAGGGGAGCCAAAGTTGATGTCCATTGGCTCCTCCTCTTCCCGGGACTTGAGCCCATTGGCCACAGCCTGAATGGCACGAATCCACTCCTCTCTGCGTAGACGTCAAGATGAAATCATATTAATCATTCATTAAATCTAAGTAGCAAAGCAGGTTCGATTTCCTCTTGTTTTTTTTTTTGTTTTTTTTGTGTGATGATCTACGCTGATCTCAAATATCCGATTACTATCCTTTTGGAAGATTTGGGCTTTTTAATCACGAAATGACCTAAACACAACACCTATTTCCACCAAAATGTTTTTCACCTACTTTACGGTTAATTTTAAGTAGGCCTTGCACAGACTAGTCGAGTACTTCAACCACTAGCCGGCACTGTTGGAAACAATCGACTACTTGAACGGCCATTAATCATAAATTAATTAAAAATGGCGAATGTCACCAACAAACACCACACATCTGATGTGTTGAAGTATTTCATCAAGGATGACAAAAATATCGTAATTTGCCAACTCTGTAAGAGGCCGTTCACATATCGCATCTAAAAACGCTCTCCTTTCCCACGCAGTGTTGCCAACGTTATTTTTAGCGACTTTTTTGAACATACCTCAGTAAACTCCAAATTTTGCCAGTACTGTCTTGTCGACGCTCTCTAGTTGCGTCTAACCTATTCAGTGAATGGCTGAGAGGAGCAGTACATTCATCTGTTGAGAGCACGGCTGCTGACAAACGTGAATGAGCAGTGTTTTTCCACGGACTTATCACTCATCTGCTTTTCTTTTGTTTTATATTTAAATAATTTAGTTTGATCATTTTAATTTTCTTTCTTTATTCACAGCTTTATTTGACATTAGGCTATGACATCATTAATATGCTAATTGACGCATGACGTCATCTAGCGACACATGCGCGTCGCAACCACGCCTCTTTCTATTATGAGCGCGCTTTCGGCGTGCCTACATTTGAAATAAACTTGAACGCGCAAAAGAAGCGATATGTGAATGGCCCTAAAAGTGGACACTGCGTCTGTAATGAAAGGCAAAAACAACTATTTATTTGGCTTTACTCTGTTACATGAAAATTTCGATATGTAATTACATAATTATAATGTTTTGATTAGGCTATAAATTAATAAACATTTATTGATAAGAACTTCTTCATATCTTTTGATTTACAGTAGGGATGCGCGGTATACCGGTACTGCAAAAATATCGGTACATAAAATGTTTCAAATTGTACAATATCATAATTTTGTTAAATTCGGTATTTGATGCGCTGCTGTTTTGAAGTTCTTCGCTAGGCGGCAGTGCGCTAGCTAAACAGACGCGGGTCACGCGAAACCGCAAACGGTGACAAAGGAGGAACACGATGGATCAAATGAAGCTCATTCGAATTTCTACACGCCCGAAATTAATAGAGAGAGCAGTATGAGTGAAATAAAGCATTAATTTGACTAAAAAACAGACCTCAATGCAACAAATCTGCCGAAGCGCTCATCAGTTGCTCATCCTGACTCGTTCAAAGAGTTCAGAGATCGACAGGTGAGTTCATCATTCAACTGATTTAATTTAGACTTTTACTGAACCCTGAACAGCGCACATATATAAGGGATTATCAATTTAGTTAAATATGATACGGTAAACACGAAAGCTCAAATTTTCTTGCATGACAAGCTAGAACCAATTCAGTTTAGGTCTCATAATTTTTGCACTTTCAAACAAACTTTTGAGTAAATAATTTGAATAAATCATTTAATTTGAATAAATAAAGAATAAAAGTGCTAGTAAAATTAATAGCATATTATTGTCGCTGTGGTGACCCATAGAGGAATAAGCCGAGAGAGAGAGAGAGAGAGAGAGAGAGAGAGAGAAATAGGAAAATGAATGACTAATATTACAATTAAGCTACATTTGTCAACATTCATTTGGTAACCTGGCCTAACAATATTAGACTATAGCATTCATTTATCTAGATCAATCAGTAATAATTTTTATTTTTTTATTTCACCTTTATTTAACCAGGTTAATCGGTTGAGAACAAGTTCTCATTTGCAACCGCGACCTGGCCAAGACAGGCGAAAAGTGCAAGGCAACATAAAATTACACATTGTGTACAACATTCAAGTGTAATCACACATACAAATTTTCAGGTTCAATTAAAATGCTGAACAGAGTATAAAAATTTAAAACAACTTACTACTAATAACTTAGTACTAAATAAGAGCACAAGCAGTATAAAAATAAAATGACCTAAAAAATGTAATACCAATACATGTTTAGCATGTTAACATTACTTATATGCATAATATGAACCCAAACAGTAACCAAACAAGATGAATAAATGCTATAAATCTTGATAATTCTCTGTTGACGCATGACAGCTAATGGTTTACATGTCATTTCATTATTCTATTATTATATTTTAATCTATTATTATAGTTATTAACCTATTTTAATTGTGCAATTTCAGTTTTTTTTTTTAATTAACATTTTATCTACTGTATGTTCCTTGACTTAATTTATTTCTTTTTTTACATTTTGATACTTTTTAGTTTTTTTTTAATACTTTTCTTTGCACATTTGGTAGTGGAGAGTTTCAAGCAGTGTTTTTAATAAACTTGTTTCAATTCATTAAATTGAGACTTTTTTTTCGACTGTGGTATCGATACTGAGGTATTGGGTTCTGGTATCGTACCGAAGCCAAAATTGTGGTCTCAAGCCATTTCTAATTTACAGTAGCATGAACCACGAGTAGTCGAGTAACTCGAGTATTCTTTTGATAAGAAATCGACTAGCAGAAATCATAGTCGTGCAACCCCTAATTTTAAGCAACAGGCAGTGAGTAATATCCTGTTTGGATTGGCAAAAATCCAGTTAATACAACCAAATCTGCTTTCCCAGTAAATACCATTCAACATCTTCTTAAGCTTTCCCCCTCTTCCATCCATTAAGTCATTCCAAAGACACTGATTTTAACAGGACTCTCCATCTCATTTCCTCACCTTTCAGCATTGCTATCCACGTGGAAGGTGCGCTCAATAACAGTGGTCCACTGCAAGCAGCGAATGACAAACGTGTTCGGCCGAGGTCGTTCAGTCTTCATCAGCTGACACTCTGCGAAGGATTTTACAGTTTTAAAACATTTTATTTGGGATTTAAATTTCTTGAATGGGTCAAAACAATTCGAAACATCATATATTAAAAGTGAACTGTGATTTGATCTGTGCCTCTTGCGGTCTCTTATTTGGGAGGTTCTTTTTGAACGAATACACTGTTTTCCAGGTTTGGGAGAATTAAACACCAGACCAACCAACATTGATTGAAAAAATAAAAAAGGTATCCGTCTCACCGTGTAATTATACATTTAAGTACCAGGTAATAATAATTAACTACAAGTACTTACTATAGGGTTAGGATTATTTTAGTTCCATGTAATTAAGCATAATTTATTGTTGAACACTGTTGAACCATTTCCTATTGGTAAGACAAACAAATAAAATTTTTGACCATTTTGAAAATTCTCCAGCATTTACTAAATGAGTAATTCGTGCACATCATTTGTTTGTTTTTTTATTTGTGTGCCCATATATTCTTTAATCAAAATAACGTTTTTAGAATGTTAACTGGCGTGAGGGTGAGAGAAACTGTCAATCACATGAGATCACAGCAATAGCAGACAACAACGAGCCAATCAATTCCTGAAGAAAAAAAAAAAAAAAAATCAAGTGTCAACTTTGGCCTTAAGCCAACTTTAAGTGCTAGATGACAGCAAGTGATACAAATCTTAAAATAAGCAGAAACAATTCATGCAATAGTGGCAGATGTAAATCAAATGTATAAAACCAAACAAAACCCTAAAAAACTGCTGATATCATCTTATTATCTATAATGGTGCATGTATTTACACACAAACTCATATTTATATATATATATATATATATATATACACACACACACACACACACATATACTGTATACATTCTGTATATATATATACATACATATATATATATATATATATATACACATTCTGTATATATATATATATATACATACATACATACATACATACATACATATATATTTATATATATAATTATATAAAAACACACATCACTTGCCTTACTTTCTGTAAATGATAATTAGCAAGTAAGAAATAATAAACCAAATAAGGGAGCCCTATTTTAGAATATTAGACAATCTGGTTTGCATGAAGTGAGGCAGCACTGTGACAGTGACAGACCTGCGACGGAAAAGTTGTTAAGAGGCGGTTGATTGTGGTCTGACGTCTCAGGCTTCTCCTTGTAGCCGATGAAAGAGCCATCACTCTTTAGGATGAAATACCGGGGCCTCCAAGTCTTAATATATTCACCTGCAGACAGGAGGAGGAAGAGATACGACGAAGTAGATGGCAAGAGGATGGGGAGGCGGGGGGAGAGATACAGAAAAAGACAGACAACAACTCAGTTTACAATACAAATATATGATACATACTGTCCTGATGAATGAGTGTGTAAGCAGTGCTCACCTCTCTTGTGGAGCCAGCCCTCTCTGACGATGCTGACCTCGTTCATACTGGGTTAGGGGTGTGTGGGGCGTAGGGCAGGGTGGCAGGGAGGTTGGGGGAGGGGGAGCGTCGAGTCTCGGGTCAGGCAGACGGTTAGTACCACAGAGCCAGACTCACCTGGGATCAAGGAAAATAAACTAATATCAACCACAAAGTACGACACAAAGCACCACAGAAGCATTTCTATTGCTTATGTATAGAAAATAGAATTTATGAACAACATTAGACTCCATCATCTTTCGCAACACCATTTGGTGAGCAAATGACAGAATTCTCCTTTTTGGGTGAACACTACCTTAATAAAAGCATTGTGAATGCAAATTTGTTGTTATTATTATCATTATTGTGTCCAACATGGTTTCTCAACTGGTTTGGCCATGGGGGGGACCCATGGTCATTGAGCCACGACCACAATTTTTAGGAATCGGAACCAAGCAAATTGATTTTTCAAGAGTTGAAACATGGACACTGATCCTGATGAATTGAATTTCATGACATACTACATGCTCGTAATTTCATTTGCTCCTTTACAGTACACAGCGTGCACCTCCACATTTGCATGCAATTAAAAGTGCGTGCTTGAGTACGGTATAATGTCTGACAGGAACAGAGTTTTTTTTAAGGCCCTGTTTACACCTGGTATTAGGGCTGCACGACATTGGTAAAAAATGGCATTGCGATATTTTATTTTTCTGCAATATATATTACGATATAAAAACAATTTCTGCAGATGACTTGAATAGCTATACTTGGAAAGAATGAATCATTCTAGAATGACTGGGGAGGTTGTCATGGAGTAAATCTGCATATTAGAAACTAATATTAATAGAATGTTTACTATACCTAGACTTTAATAAATAGAACCTTATTGTAAAGTGTTTCCCATTGATGTCTCTTGAGTTCAGTGTTGGATCAGTTGGTTTAACCATTCATTAAAGTAAATCGTGCGCAAGATATTAAGGACTTAAACTTTGTCGGCGGAAGACAGTTTGAAGACGAAAAACGTACAAAGCACAATGTTCTCTCACCATTCACGCACCTAACAGTGTTCGGACTTACACTTACGCACTTACATGGTCTTGCAGCAATCAGAGCGGAAACTGTTTTTCCATCATCTCCTTTTGTGTTCAAAATATGTAAATTGTGCGTGCTTATTTGTCCATAAGATCGTAAGATCTAGAAAAAGCCATACGTTTACCTATCCATAGACCCCAAAGAACTCAGTACAGAAGTGGTAAAAGTGGACAAAAGAGATGAATTTAAAAGTCGGGTGTAAACGTGTCTACCTCGTCCACTTGTGATCCGATCGACCAAAACGCATCTTAACACCAGATGTAAAGGGACTTTCTTTCATAACAAGTTACGAAAATAACAGAATAATGCCACTGACATACAGTACTCATCTGACCGCAGATAATGAATCAGGACAACACATTTCTCAAACGCTTTACTTAAACTGCAATTGAAAGAAGAGTCAACAGCGTTCACACACTTCTTTCAAAAAGTTTTGCATCAGAAAAACTTTTTACATTTTTTTCAGGGTTTATTTTGTTGTAGTTTCATTCACTCCACAACCCACTCGAAGTGTTGTGACCAACTTTTGGGTCACTACCCACCAAAAAACACTAGACCATAAATGAAAGATTATACAAAAATGGTCACCTGACTACTGCTACAGGAATGCCACCTGTTCAGAAATGTTTGTGATGTAAACTTGACAAATGCAGCATTCAGCACTCTGTAACAGATAAGCCTACATCTCTGAGGATTTCATATTTAACCAAGAGGAACAGCTGAATTCATCTTACTGAATAAAACAGCGTCTTGCACACCATTCAATATCAAACTAACTGGGGGGTAAGAGAAGAAGAATGATCATGACATAGAGGTGAGTGCGAGACTTTCTATGGAAAATTTCATTGGCATTATAAACTGCATTAATGAAAAAAAAGTGCCAAGTCATCATTACTTACATAAAAGTATCTGTACATGTGGGATAAAGTGCTGATCCAATGATCAGGGTCAGATCCTGATAGATAATCAGTTTTTTGTCTTGCACATCTTGAAGATGATTTTATGAAGGCTATGAGTCGACAGCGAATCACCACTTTTTATTATAAAAGTGCTTTTGTGAATAAAGCAATATTCACCTCACGTCGGTCCTGAACTCTGTCACCGAGTCTCAAAAAGTTCAGTTCAAAAAGATAAGATACATTAATTTGGTATTAGATTTTGTAAGATGTCAATAATTTATTGTAGCTAATAGCTATAATGAAATCAAAATCTGAGAATTTATGATGACATAAAATTACATATAAATAAATCTATTATGCTGCTTACAAGTATACTGCATTTGTTCTAAAAACCCTTTATCTAAATTAACTTGCGTGTGATTAAACAGACAACAGTTACAAAAAGGTTAGAAGTTAAGGTTACAACAGTTACAACTTAATTTGAATTTACAAATGTTTAACTTGCGCTTGGGATGAAAGAGCAAAATAATCATGAAACCTACATTCCCTGTTCTTATTTGCAAGGCTTTTACTCTGATAATATACGGTATGCCTAATGCAAATGCTGTGATTTTTAAAATCAAAATACGTGTGAAGAGAATAACACGGACATGGGACAAGGACGAGCCTCATTTACCACAAAGTGTTTTTAAACCATTTCTGATGGGAAATGCGACAGTGCTATTCTATCACCATGGAGATGCCTATTAGACTGCAGTGAAGCCAGTCTGATCCACAGGTGAACACGCCACTCTGTACACCGAACAAGACAAGACACCTGCTGTTTTCAGAATCAACATTAGAAAGAACACGTTTTGTTCTGCATAAAGCCATGCTCAAAATGACAATTTGGGAGAAGAATTGTTCATCCACATGTAATGGTCACTTGTACATGCAGAAGTTGACAGGGTATTGTGGATGATTGCCAAGGCTTTGCTGGTAATTCTTTTTAAACTTTACTGATTTGGCAATGATTAAACTACTGATACGTTCTTTAGTGTGTTTAATTTATTCATTATTACCCCTTTTTCAAAAACTAGGCCGATAACCGTATTTACACTGCATTTGTAATTCATTGATTTCATTTGTTTAGCAAATATACATTTCATTCAGTCATTTTCATGCTTAATTATGCATTAAAATGTATTGCACAAGACTCTGTTACTTTCACTGTTCATTCTATTGCTCTATCATATTTGATCTATCATTTAATAGCGAAGCAAATATTTAGAGCTGCTTCGGCAGGGTTCAATGCTAAGGTTTTTGTTTACCAATTTTATACGATGTAGTTTTGAACTAAATGTGCCGAGTGAACGATCAGCAATCAAGAGTACGCCAAAAAAAGTGAGTGCTCTTTCTTTTTATCATCAGTTAACGTTATTTAAATGTGCCTTGTTTTACCTTTGGCATTGACATATGCGACCGAACTACTAACTTTCCAGCAATGCCTGTGAAAAAGTGCGCCTGACAAGCTTGCACGTCTGTTTTGTTTATGAGTTCGCACACAGCAGAAGCGTAAATTTCTCATTAGTTTAACATTCTATGAATTCAATTAGGGATGTTAACAATCGATGATCAAATCATTGTCGAAAATACATTTAATCGATAAAACATATTGATCGTCGATTAGGCAGGTTCATGCACGTTCATGCTCCAGGAAGAGTGCGTCCACAACATGTCACATTCTGAATAGCGCATAACTGCGTTAAAGCAGACTGATCTCATGAAGTAGCGTGTGTATGACACGCCAATTCGTATTTCCATTTTTGGCGTGCTATTAAGACGCATAATTGCTTTTCAGCGTGTTTATGAACGCCGTTGACTTAACGTTATTACTGTATATGACTTACCTCAACCTCGTCCCTAAACCTAACCGTCAACGGGGTTAATGGCATTTATGACTGTTCCCTTGGAGTCCGCCTTTGTAATTGTTATGTTTGAAGTTAACGCAAGCGTTTCTATTTTTGTATTTTTTTATTGAAGACATAAGCAAAAAGAAAACAGTCACAATATAGAACAAATAAATGGAAAGAAAAAAAAAGACAAGACAGGGGTACATAACTTATCAGAAAAGATGTATATCAAATGAAAAGATTAAAAGACTTATATATTTCAATTGTTTTTAAAGCTTTCTTGGTACACGAGTTAGAGATAATCAGAAAGTAATGTTGTATTTGCAAGCGTTTCTAGCTAAGACGTATGGCGACGTACACGTTCCCTGGGCGCTCTAGTCAGTGGAAAAACAAATAGGTTCTGAAGTGGTTCGCAAGTTGAACCAAATACGAACCAACTTTGAACCAGCACCAGTTCCGAACCAGCTCTTTTTTTGGTGGAAAAGGGGCATCAGTGAACGCGTTCCACACATGCACAGTAGATCGGCTGGGACAGTAGCAAAGACATGCTTTTTTCAAACTTTTTTCTTTGCCTTGACCATCGACTGTAAGGCCTTGACAAACCGGTCTCTAATTTATTTCTACTTCTGCCCACACATACTTTGCCTAAACTCTTGCTAATTTCCCTCCAGGAATTACTGTACATCTGGCTGTTTAATGGAATCTGGAATCCTTTAATGATGGGTTGTCGAGGTGCGGGTAGCTACGGACTTCTTCGCACAGCCTCTCTTCGAAATCGACGTACATTTTTCGCCACTAGCGCTTTCGCGGTTTTAATCTAGTAGTGGCTGCGCGTACTTTGGACGCGCTTTTCCACTGCATGGTACGGCAAGACTCGGCTCGCTTTGCTTTTCCACTGCAGTTTAGCACCGCTTTTAAATTGGGTCGGATTATAGACTGCTCATTAACGTAGCTGAAAAACTTTTTTTTTCATTCCTGGTCGCAATATCCAGCTCTCGCTGTATCCGCTCCTTGGCTCCAAATGAGATGAACATCTGCACCTCGTCTACTGACCAGTCACTAGATTCAGCCATTACTTTTTTAAAGGGATACTCCACCGGGTTTTCATATTAAACTATGTTATTCCCTTAACTAAGACGAGCTGATGCATACCTCTCTCGTCACAGTGCGTGCACTCTATCGCTCTGTATTGCCGCAAAACTATGTTAGCACTTAGCTTAGCCCAGTGCATTAAATATGGGTCAAAAAGAGA